TTGGGCGGCCTGCCGTCACAAGTCGCAAGATTTTATCTGGAGAGAGAGGGGAGAAAGAAGTCAAAGCATAGGGTAGGGCAGTGTGAGCAGGACCAGCAGTGTCATTTGACTTAACAAACGAGGATCGGATGTCGTCAACCTTCTTTTCAAAATGGTTGACGAAGTCATCCACAGAGAGGGAGGAGGGGAGGGAGGAGGATTCAGCAGGGAGGAGAATGTGGCAAAGAGCTTCCTAGGGTTAGAGGCAGATGCTTGGAATTTAGAGTGGTAGAAAGTGGCCTTAGCAGCAGAAACAGATGAAGAAAATGTAGAGGGGAGGGAGTGAAAAGATGCCAGGTCCACAGGGAGTCTAGTTTTCTTCCATTTCCGCTCAGCTGCCCGGAGCTCTGTTCTGTGAGCTCGCAATGAGTCATCAAGCCACGGAGCTGGAGGGGAGGACCGAGCCGGCCGGGAGGATAGGGGACATAGAGAGTCAAAGGATGCAGAAAGGGAGGAGAGGAGGGTTGAGGAGGCAGAATCAGGAGATTGGAGGGAGAAGGATTGAGCAGCGGGAAGAGATGATAGGATGGAAGAGGAGAGAGTAGCGGGAGAGAGAGAGCGAAGGTTGCGACGGCGCATTACCATCTGTGTAGGGGCAGAGTGAGTAGTGTTGGAGGAGAGCGAGAGAGAAAAGGATACAAAGTAGTGGTCGGAGACATGGAGGGGAGTTGCAGTGAGATTAGTAGAACAACAGCATCTAGCATGAGGTCAAGCGTATTGCCTGCCTTGTGAGTAGGGGGGGACGGTGAGAGGGTGAGGTCAAAAGAGGAGAGGAGTGGAAAGAAGGAGGCAGAGAGAAATGAGTCAAATGTAGACGTAGGGAGGTTGAAATCTCCCAGAACTGTGAGGGTTGAGCCATCCTCAGGAAAGGAACTTATCAAGGCGTCAAGCTCATTGATGAACTCTCCAAGGGAACCTGGAGGGCGATAGATGACAAGGATATTAAGCTTAAATGGGCTAGTGACTGTGACAGCATGGAATTCAAATGAGGAGATAGACAGATGGGTCAGGGGAAAAATTGAGAATGTCCACTTGGGAGAGATGAGGATTCCTGTGCCACCACCCCGCTGACCAGATGCTCTCGGGGTATGCGAGAACACATGGTCAGACGAGGAGAGAGCAGTAGGAGTAGCAGTGTTTTCAGTGGTAATCCATGTTTCCGTCAGCGCCAAGAAGTCGAGGGACTGGAGGGTAGCTTAGGCTGAGATGAACTCTGCCTTGTTGGCAGCAGAACGGCAGTTCCAGAGGCTGCCTGAGACCTGGAACTCCACGTGGGTGGTGCGTTTAGGGACCACCAGGTTAGAGAGGCAGCAGCCACGCGGTGTGAGGCGTTTGTATAGCCTGTGCGGAGAGGAGAGAACAGGGATAGGCAGAGGCATAGTTGACAGGCTGCAGCAAATGGCTACAATAATGCAGAGGAGATCGGAATGAAATGAACTAAACATCTGGGAAAGGAGAGAGCGGGGCCTCCCTCACCACAACTCCCAAATATAACTCTCCCAACTTCCACCTCAGAAACTATAATTGTTGTAAACTACAGCGGTTCAATGTTTTCTAGGAATATACTAACTTAGTTTATTCAGCTAGCTAACTAGGTACAGTATTATATTACTAGTTGAACTACATGAAGTTCACTACTCTCCATCACTGTGAATACTACCATGATATCAGTTCTCTCATGTCACTGTAATGCTGTTATATCAGTGGATCGTTGGAGGTTTCTCTGCCTGGTCTGTCTGGAGTGCTCCTCTGATGTGTCACTTTGAGTCTTTCACCGACCTCTCAAACACACTTAGTCTGAACACGACTGAAAGTTATGCGTGAACGCTGAAGTTTGTGCTTACTATGGTGTAACTCCTGACTGTCTGTTGCTGGGTGTTGATGGTACGGCTTACAGCAATCATCTTAATATTCCTGGCTTCATTAAACTCCTCATGGCTTAAGATGGGAGATTGTGATTAAATGGTTCTCCTGAGATTTTCTGTTGTTATGAAACTTCCTTTTAGATTGGTTTAGCCTGAGTCGTATAAGTCCCTCTGAAACTACAGTAGAAGACTGACCCACTTTTGACATTTGAAAATGATCAGCTCCTTTGGTCTTTTAATACCTAACAACATGGCCATGTCTGAACTCTTGTAAAATAGTGGAACCTAGTATTCTCTTCTGTCCTGATCCTGACTCCTTCCATAAATCTGAAAACTGTGATGTAAGTTGTTTTAGCGTAGGGGACTAGTTCACATGGGTGATAGTGGATCACTCCTTGAGTGTATAGCTAGTCAATTCTAAGCTCATTCACCTAACTTTAGGGACATGTATAATGTGTTTAGCTCCTCTCCAGTGGGCTACTGTCCCTACAGCCATCCCAGGGGACAGTCCTACATCTTAGTTGTTGTTGGTATTGATCCCACTGCGGGCACGTTGCGCATCCTGTCGTCAGGGCAATGAACACTGATCCATCATAATGTGGCGGTGAGAGCTGAGGGTGTCGAGTTCAGCTTGTTAACCCCCGCTGCACGTGTGGCACCCTGGAGACAACTGGACGCCACTCGTTTCTACGTGTCAGCGGTTATTATCTGTAATCAGACAGATGATGCTCTCTCTCGATCGATGGGATGGCAGACACCAAAGGCTCCCTGCCCCGGGATATAGTAGTCATATCAAATCAAATCAAATCGTATACTTTCATATATTGTATCTAACATTGTTACTATTATGATCAAGGATTACATTAGGATTAAAGAGGTGGTCAAACTCATACTGCTCCTTGTATTATTTTATACCATTACATTTGTCTGCCGCTTTGTATTCACATCTGTAGATGTGAAGGTCTCTCTCACTGCGTGATTGACTGTAAAGTTTGACATAATGGTAGATGTCAGCTAGGTATAAACTACAATAAATAAATAACACAATGCATACATCAGCAGCCATACTCCAGAGGTCCCAGTTGTTTTCCTCAGGAGAACCAGTCCAGTAGGTAGAGTAATGTGTAGCCTACTGTAGTCTGACTGTAGAGTCAGACCAGGCTGTGTCAGCTGATGTCTTCATTAGGACAGTCCCCTATTGACCTGGGAGCTCAGAATGACAGGTCAGGGACACCACTGCTCCCCTATCTACTCTACTCTACACACACGCACACACATATGCACACACTCATTGTCCCGAGTGTGTGTGTGACATTCTGTGGATAAGTCGATAACTGTCCCTCGCACACTCTCTGGTTTTCTGAAACCTGCAGAAAGGCTGTTTGATTGGCAGATTTGGACTGGATGAAAAAAGTATGAAAATAGACAGGCGGTAGGTGCGCTCTCTCTCTCTCTCTTTCTCTCTCTCTCTTCCTTTCTCGCACCCCCTGCTCTCCTTCTTACAGCGATGAGCCCTTCCTCATGAATAGATACAAAGCACCAGCTGATGTTGAATGTTAAGTAAGACATTCATTAACCCCTAACTAACCCTGCTAATGAGTGACAGCAGCTTCTGCTAGACCAGACCATACAGATTGGTAGGCACTTTACCCAAAGAAACAAAGGGGCAAACCCCAAACGCAGACCTCTCCACTACATTTTACATTTTAGTCATTTAGCAGACGCTCTTATCCAGAGCGACTTACATGAGCAATTAGGGTTAAGTGCCTTGCTCAAGGGCACATCGACAGATTTTTCACCTAGTCGGCTCGGGGATTAGAACCAGCAACCTTTCGGTTACTGGCACAACGCTCTTACCCACTAAGCTACCTGCCGCCCCACTACATAACAATAACATCAGTTGAACTAAATGAATTGCCTTTTTAATTGCTTGGCATTGATGACAGAGGTAGATACATCATCTCTGATGTTTCCCTAATGTTTAGAGATTGCAGATTGTTTATTTTCCTGGTTTTTGAGGTTTGAATTTTAGGGTCCAGGGCTCTGAGATATAAGGGTTTGGACTTTCGATTTTGGGGATTGGGGTTCAGCATTTGTAGGTTGCTCTCTAGCCTATATCCATCGGCTAGGTATTCCTCTTCCTCCGTTCTCTATAATCTGTAAAGCCCCCCCCCCACACACACACACGAAGACACACAAACCCCTCCCCCCCATGCACACACACACACACTTTTCTCTGTCTGCTTGAGGACTAGCCCATTAATCTTGGGCTGCATCCTAACATGGTCGTTAGAATTCTATTAGCTGTATATATTCAATAAGGAGCCTCACTTAAAGGCCCTGTCCCTCTTATCAGCTGCAGCCCAGCCATGATCATTACACTGCAACCTCTTTTATTGTTTAGGCAAACGACAAGCAGCGATTTATGGGGAACGACTGACAATGGTGACGTGAAAGGAAATGTGTTAGTTTAAGTATATTATAGAGAGGGGAGAGAGATACAGAGAGAGGGAAAGAGAGAGAAAGAGAGAGAGAAATAAAAGAGAGGGGAGAAAAAAAGGTAAAGAGAGGAAGTGAGGCAAGGAAGAAAGGAGTGAAGTTACAACAGAGGTGACAAATCACAGAGTAGTTCCCGAGGGTAGTGGTGGGAGGAATGTTGAATCCCAACCATGTTTTACTAGTGTATGTTTAGACAAACAGCAGTCATTACACAGTCCAAGTGTAGTCTGCCTGGGGGTAGGTTGTTATCTCACACACCAAGAGAAGGCAGCACTGGTAGGTCTCTCCACTGAGTAAACACCCATTAATCTTGTCACCCCCCCCCCGATGATCCCAAGGTCCCATCAACACACACACAGACACACACACACGTGTCCCTGCCCTGGGGCCCCCACAGTCCCATATGTAATGAGTTGTTTAATTCACTTCATTGAGTGTTAATGTCCCTGTGGTTCTTCTCAGGTACACACTGCTGGGAGGGCCTGATAATTGGGCCTACTTTATCATCGATTCCCCTCTGATGAATGGCCTGAGAAACCACTCAATTTCTTTGTGTCTCCCTCCCCCCTCCCCTCCTCTCTTCATTCTATTTTGGGTATGTTCTGTGTTTTCTGGAAGACTGGGGTGAATGTTCTACTTCAGGATGTGAACGGAAACATTCCGCTGGACTACGCCACTGAGGGAACCGAGACCAGCTACATCCTCCGAAAACACCTGGAGGAAAACGGTAACACAAAACTCTGCTTTATGTGGTGTGTCATATCGTGTTGTGTTATATTGTAGGCCTATATGTGTTAATTGTGCACCAACCAGCCATATAAATGTTCACCTAAACACTTTCCCTTTGTAAATAATATTTGTATTTTGTGAAACTTTTTCCAATCTTTGCCATGTTCCACCCACACACAATTACTCTGGTTGAAGACCTGTCTATTATCCCGGGAGTATGACATTTTGTTCTAGTCCATATAACATCTCTATGTGTTACTATACTGCCTGCTTCAATGTTCATTCTTTTTTCACAGCAGTTAAAGGAGACTGAATAGAAAACTAAATAAAGTGAGATATTACTGAATGCGTGAGATAATGGCTTAATTTGAAAAAATGACATTCAACGGATCATAAGTTATGTCTGCAAAAATGTATGACGTGAGGTGAGGAGACAGACTGAAATACTTAATTATAAGGAATGGTCCCATGGATGGTTGGCTGCCATATTGCCTGAGGAAAAGGTATTGATACTGTATATACAGTGCATTCGGAAAGTATTCAGACCTCTTCACCTTTTCCACATTTTGTTACATTACAGCCTTATTCTGAAATGGATTGAATAATTTTTTCCCCTCATCAATCTACACACAATAATGACAAAGCGAAAACAGGTTTTTACAAATGTCTGCAAATTTATACAAAATCAAAAACAGAAATACCTTATATAAATAAGTATAGAATGGAGCCGGAGAAGATGGCTGCCGTTTTACAGCCCTCTAACCAATTGTACTATTATGTGTGTTTTTTCACGTTATTTGTAATTTATTCTGTACATAATGTTTCTGCCACTGTCTCTTATGACCAAAAAGAGCTTCTGGATATCAGGACAGCGATTACTCACCTCATATTGGACTAATATGTTTTCTTCAACGAGTCGGACGCGAAGGATATCCTACAGACACCCAAAAAGTCCCAAATCCCCGTCATTCTCATGAGAAAGAGACGGAGATATCGTGGACGTAGGTCGGGTTGCCTTGTAAGGATCCGACGACGAGCGAGTAAACTGCCTCTTCCATCAATCCTATTAGCCAATGTTCAATCATTTGAAAATAAATTGGACGACCTAAGATTAAGGTTATCCTACCAACGGGAAATTAAAAACTGTAATATCTTATGTTTCACCGAGTCGTGGCTGAACGATGACATGGATAACATACAGCTGGCGGGATAGACGCTACATCGGCAGGATAGAACGGCTGGTGGCGGTCTGTGTATATTTGTAAACAACAGCTGGTGCATAAAATCTAATACCAAGGAAGTCTCAAGGTTTTGCTCGCCTGAGGTAGAGTATCTCATGATAAGCTATAGACCACACTATTTACCAAGAGAGTTTTCATCTATATTTCTCGTAGCTGTCTATTTACCACCAAAAGCCGATGCTGGCACTAAGATTGCACTCAATGAGCTGTATAAGGCCATAAGTAAACAGGAAAACGCTCATCCAGAGGCAGCGCATCTTGTGGCCGGGGACTTTAATGCAGGGAAACTTAAATCCGTTCTACCTCATTTTTACCAGTTGTAATTGAGAACTTGTTCTCAACTGGCCTACCTGGTTAAATAAAGGTGAAATAAAAGAAATACCAGCATGTTAAATGTGCAACCAGAGGGAAAAAAACTCTAGACCACCTTTACTCCACACACAGAGACGCGTACAAAGCTCTCCCTCGCCCTCCATTTGGCAAATCTGACCATAACTCTATCCTCCTGATTCCTGTTTATGAGCAAAAACTAAAGCAGGAAGCACCAGTGACTCAGTTAATAAGGAAGTGGTCAGATGACACAGATGCTAAGCTACAGGACTGTTTTGCTAGCACAGACTGGAATATGTTCCGGGATTCTTCTGATAGCATTGAGGAGTACACCACATCAGTCACTGGCTTCATCAACAAGTGCATCGATGATGTCGTCCCGACAGTGACCGTACGTACATACCCCAACCAGAAGCCATGGATTACAGGCAACATCCGCACTGAGCTAAAGGGTAGAGCTGCCGCTTTCAAGGAGCGGGACCTTGACCGCAATGCCCTCCGACGAACCATCAAACAGGCAAAGAGTCAATTTAGGACTAAAATTGAATCGTACTACACCAGCTCGGACGCTCGTCGGATGTGGCAGGGCTTGAAAACTATTACAGACTACAAAGGGAAGCACAGCCACGAGCTCCCCAGCGACACAAGCCAACCAGACGAGCTAAATCACTTCTATGCTCACTTCGAGGCAAGCAACACTGAAGCATGCATGAGAACATCAGCTGTTCCGGATGACTATGTGATCACGCTCTCTGTAGCCGATGTGAGTAAGACTTTTAAGCAGGTCAACATTCACAAGACCACAGGGCCAGACAGATTACCAGGACGTGTACTCCAAGCATGCGCTGACCAACTGGCAAGTGTCTTCACTGACATTTTCAACATGTCCCTGACTGAGTCTGTAATACCAACATGTTTCAAGCAGACCACCATAGTCCCTGTGCCCAAGAACACTAAGATAACCTGCCTAAATGACTACCGACCGGTAGCACTCACGTCTGTAGCCATGAAGTGCTTTGAAAGGCTGGTCATGGCTCACATCAACAACATTATCCCAGAAACCCTAGACCCACTCCAATTTGCATACCACCCCAACATATCCACAGATGATGCAATCTCTATTGCACTCCACACTGCCCTTTCCCACCTGGACAAGAGGAACACCTACGTGAGAATGCTATTCATTGACTACAGCTCAGCGTTCAACACCATAGTGCCCTCAAAGCTCATCACTAAGCTAAGGACCCTGGGACAAACACCTCCCTCTGCAACTGGATCCTGGACTCCTGACGGGCCGCCCCCAGGTGGTAAGGGTAGGTAACAACAACACATCTACCACGCTGATCCTCAACACGGAGGCCCCTCAGGTGTGCATGCTCAGTCCCCTCCTGTACTCCCTGTTCACCCATGACTGCATGGCCAGGCACGACTCCAACACCATCATTAAGTTTGCCGACGACACAACAGTGGTAGGCCTGATCACAGACAACAATGAGACAGCCTATAGGGAGGAGGTCAGAGACCTGGCTGTGTGGTGCTAGGATAACAACCTCTCCAACGTGATCAAGACAAAGGAGATAACTGTGGACTACAGGAAATAAAAGAGGACTGAGTGGAACAGGTTGAGAGCTTCAAGTTCCTTGGTGTCCACAAAGTATTATGGTCCAAACACACCAAGACAGTAGGGAAGAGGGCAAAGCCTGTTCCCCCTCAGGAGTTTGAAAAGATTTGGCATGGGTCCTCAGATCCTCAAAAAGTTCTACAGCTGCACCATTGAGAGCATCCTGACTGGTTGCATCACTGCCTTGTATGGCAACTGCTCAGCCTCCGACCGCAAGGCACTACAGAGGGTAGTGCGTACGGCCCAGTACATCACTGGGGCCAAGTTTCCTGCCATCCAGGACCTCTAAACCAGGCGGTGTCAGAGGAAAGCCCTAAAAATTATCAAAGACTTCAGCCACCCTAGTCATAGACTCTCTTCTACCGCACGGCAAGCGGTACCGGAGCGCCAAGTCTAGGTCCAAAAGGCGTCTTAACAGCTTCTACCCCCGAGCCATAAGACTCCTGAACAGCTACTCATGGCTACCCAGACTATTTGCATTGTTGGTTAAGGGCTTGTAAGTAAGCATTTCACTGTAATGTCTACACCTGTTGTATTCGACGCATGTGGCAAATAAAATGTGATTTGATTTATTCAGACCCTTTGCTATGAGACTCAGGTGCATCCTGTTTCCATTGATCATCCTTGAGATGTTTCTACAACTTGATTGGAGTCCACCTGTGGTAAATTCAGTTGATTGGACATGATTTGGAAAGGCACACACCTGTCTATACTGTATAAGGTCCTACAGTTGACAGTGTATGTCAGAGCAAAAACCAAGCCATATGGTCGAAGGAATTGTCCGTAGAGCTCAGAGACAGGATTGTGTCGAGGCACAGATCTGGGAAAGGTTACCAAAAACTGTCTGCAGCATTGAAGGCCCCCAAGAACACAGTGGCCTCCATCATTCTTAAATGGAAGAAGTTTGGAACCACCAAGACTCTGCCTAGAGCTGGCCGCCCGGCCAAACTGAGCAATAGGGGGAGAAGGGCCTTGGTCAGGCAGGTGAACAACAACCCGATGGTCACTCTGACAGAGCTCCAGAGTTCCTCTGTGGAGATGTGAGAACCTTCCAGAAGGACAACCATCTCTACAGCACTCCACCAATCAGGCCTTTATGATAGAGTGGCCAGACGGAAGCCACTCCTCAGTAAAAGGTACATGACTGCCCGCTTTGAGTTTGCCAAAAGGCACCTAAAGGACTCTCAGACCATGAGAAACAAGATTCTCTGATCTGATGAATCCAAGATTTAACTCTTTGGCCTGAATGCCAAGCGTCACGTCTGGAGGAAACCTGGCACCATCCCTACGGTGAAGCATGGTGGTGGAAGCATCATGCTGTGGGGATGTTTTTCAGCGGCAGGGACTGGGAGACTAGTCAGGATCGAGGGAAAGCTGAACGGAGCAAAGTACAGAGAGATCCTTGATAAAACCTGCTCCAGACTGGGGCGAAGGTTCACCTTCCAACTGGACAATGACCCTAAGCACACAGCCAAGAGAACGCAGGAGTGGCTTCGGGACAAATATCTGAATGACTTTGAGTGGCCCAGCCAGAGCCCAGACTTTAACCCGATCTAACATCTCTGGAGAGACCTGAAAATAGCTGTGCAGCAACGCTCCCCATCCAACCTGACAGAGCTTGAGAGGATCTGCAGAGAAGAATGGGAGAAACTCCCCAAATACAGGTGTGCCAAGCTTGTAGCGTCATACCCAAGAAGACTTGAGGCTGTAATCACTGCCAAAGGTGCTTCAACAAAGTACTGAGTAAAGGGTCTGAATACTTAAGTAAATTTGATATTTCAGTTTTTGCAAAAATGTCTAAAAACCTGTTTTTGCTTTGTTATTATGAGGTATTGTGTGTAGATTAATGAGGGTGGGGGGGGGGGGGGGGGGAATAATGTAATCCATTTTAGAATAAGGCTGTAACGTAAGAAAATGTGGAAAAAGTGAAGGGGTCTCAATACTTTCGGGAATGCACTGTATGTGGGTAAGTGTGTGTATGCTGTACAAGGTATTTAAGAACAGTAAGATAGAACCCGTACAGTACCTACTGTAGCTCTCACCAGTCCAAAGAAGCTTCACATTAACCCCAGCACAACATTTTTACATTTTAGTCATTTAGCAGACACTCTTATCCAGAGCGACTTACAGTTAGTGAGTGCATACATTTTTCATACTGGCCCCCCATGGGAATCAAACCCACAACCCTGGCGTTGCAAGCGCCATGCTCTACCAACTGAGCTACAGGAGGCCACCACAACCTAGCCCTATCTAGCCTAACTTAACCTAGCCTGGCCCCAGCCCAATCCAATCCAATCCAGCCCGGCCCGTCTAACACCAGAACACTGTGTCCATAATCTAACTAGCTCAACTCAACTCAGACTGATGGTTATGGTCCAGCTCCCTGGCAGGGTGGTGGAGGCACTAGCATGCTAATGTGTTAACAGCAGTAATATCACTGTTGGCCCTGAGACCATCCCACTTAGACCATCCATCTGCCTCAGAGTAAAAACCATATAGCCATCAATACATCAGCACGGAGAGAGGGAGAGGGGGATTATAGCCTGATGGAGGGGGGACCATACCATCCTCCCCCTGTCCCTCCATCCCTGGCATGGCATCAGGCGTATGGTGATTTATCATTACAGTGTGTTGAAGTGTTCCTCCTCAACCCCCATTCTCCCTCTCTCCCTTAGTCTCTCCCTCTGTCCCAACCACTACTACTACACTGTGTCCTCTCTGTCCCAACCACTACTACTACACTGTATCCTCTCTGTCCAAACCACTACTACTACACTGTATCCTCTCTGTCCCAACCACTAATACTACTACTACACTGTGTCCTCTCTGTCCCAACCACTACTACTACACTGTATCCTCGCTGTCCCAACCACTACAACTACTACTACACTGTATCCTCTCTGTCCCAACCACTACTACTACACTGTATCCTCTCTGTCCCAACCACTACTACTACACTGTATCCTCTCTGTCCCAACCACTACTACTACTACACTGTGTCCTCTCTGTCCCAACCACTACTACTACACTGTATCCTCTCTGTCCCAACCACTACTACTACACTGTATCCTCTCTGTCCCAACCACTACTACTACTACACTGTATCCTCTCTGGCCCAACCACTACTACTACTACACTGTATCCTCTCTGTCCCAGCCACTACTACTACACTGTATCCTCTCTGTCCCAACCACTACTACTACTACACTGTGTCCTCTCTGTCCCAACCACTACTACTACTACACTGTATCCTCTCTGTCCCAACCACTACTACTACTACACTGTATCCTCTCTGTCCCAACCACTACTACTACTACACGGTATCCCCTCTGTCCCAACCACTACTACTACTACACTGTGTCCTCTCTGTCCCAACCACTACTACTACTACACTGTATCCTCTCTGTCCCAACCACTACTACTACACTGTATCGTCTCTCTCCCAACCACTACTACTACTACACTGTGTCCTCTCTGTCCCTCTCACTTAATGCACATGGGGTCAGACAGAGGAAGTCAAACATACACACACACACACACATATATTGTATATACACTGAGTGTACAAAACATTAAGAACACCTGCTCTATTCATGACATAGACTGACCAGGTGAATCCAGGTGAAAGCTATGACCCCTTATTGATGTCAATCAGTGTAGATGAAGGGGAGGAGACAAGTTATGAATGATTTTTAAGCCTTGAGACAATTGAGACATGGATTGTGTATGTGTGCCATTCAGATGGTGAATGGGTAAGACAAAATATTTAAGTGCCTTTGAACGGGGTATGGTAGTAGGTGCCAGGCGCACAGGTTTGTGTCAAGAACTGTAATGCTGCTGGGTTTTTCATGCTCAACAGTGTCCCGTGTATATCAAGAATGGTCCACCACCCAAAGGACATCCAGCCAACTTACATTTACAATTTAGTCATTTAGCAGACGCTCTTATCCAGAGCGACTTACAGTTAGGAAGCATTGAAGTCAACATGGGCCAGCATCCCTGTTGAACGGTTTTGACACCTTGTAGAGTCCATGCTCTGACGAATTGAGGCTGTTCTGAGGGCAAAAGGCAGGGGTGCAACTTATATTAGGAAGGTGTCTCTAATGTTTGGTGTACTCAGTGTATGTTTTATTGTCACATACCCACAAGCCCATACACATATACAGTACCAGTCAAACGTTTGGACACACCTACTCATTCAAGGGTTTTTCTTTATTTTCTACTATTTTCTACATTGTAGAATAATAGTGAAGACATCAGTAGTTTGACCTGGCCTCCACAATCACCTGACCTCAACCCAATTGAGATGGTTTGGGATGAGTCGGACCGCAGAATGAAGGAAAAGCAGCCAACAAGTGCTCAGTATATGTGGGAACTCCTTCAAGACTGTTGGAAAAGCATTTCAGGTGACTACCTCATGAGGCTGGTTGAGAGAATGCCAAGAGTGTGCAAAGCTGTCATCGAGGCAAAGGGTGGCTACTTTGAAGAATCTCAAATCTCAAATATGTTTAGATTTGTTTAACACTTTTTTGGTTACTACATGATTCCATAGTTGTTATTTCATAGTTTTGATGTCTTCACTATTATTCTAAAATGTAGAAAATAGTAAAAATAAAGACTTGAATGAGTAGGTGTGTCCAAACTTTGACTGGTACTGTACACATGCACACATGCACACAGACACACACACACACACACACACACACACACACATACACATACACATACACATACACATACACATACACATACACACACACACACACACACACACACACACACACACACACAGGCAAACTGTCACACATACTCATGTCTGACAGTGTGCTACTGAATAAAAATAACAGTTAGATTGTCATCCGTTCTTACAGTAGTCCAGATGTTTTTCGGCACTCGTCATCTTGTGATGATAATGATGCTAACTTTATTTAGCAAATACCTCAGTATAAACTTAACTTTAGCTTACAGTATACTCTGATATTAATCTCTGTCCTTTCAGTTAACTTCCCCTGTCTTGTAATTCTGACCCACCTGTCATGTCCCAACGAGCTACGGTCATCATTCCTCCTGTGAGGCATTGTGTGTGTGTGTGTGTGTGTTTGTGTGTGTGTGTGTGTGTGTGTGTGTGTGGCTGTGTGTGTGTGTGTGGGTGGGTGGGTGGGTGGGTGTGGGTGTGTGAGTGAGTGGGTGTACAAGTGGGTGGGTGTGTGTTTGCACATGCGTGTGTGTGTGTGAAGGTCAGGTGCCCCCTCAGGCTAACTGGTAGTGGAGTACCTCACTCCAGCAGGGAATGGAGAAGTTCAACAGAGATGGAGAGAAAGAACAAGAGATGAGACAGAAAATGGCAGATGCAAAAAAAGACAAAAAAAGAAATACATGAGACAGTACAGACTGAACTACAGAAAAAGAGGAGGGAGAGAGAGAGAGAGTGAGAGCGACAGAGAATGATAAGAAGGAATGACAGAAAGATCCCGCATGCCAATCCATCTTTAGGCGCATGAGATAACATGATGGATGGGACCTCAGAGGTCCAAACAGATATCACTCTACACCTCACCACAAACACACGCGCATGCACGCACGCACACACACACACAAACACACACACACAATTTCAAATACAATTTGGTCGACTATTTGGTTTTTACAAATAACCATTCAAATACTCTAATAAAAGTACTTGTTTTTGGCTGTGTATTTGAAAATACTCAAATACACAGAAAAATGTATTTAAATAACAAATAACCCAGATCTGGTGGGGAGTGCCTTGCCATGGCATCACCGTCCCTCCCCTCATCCGAAACCCCCTATAGGTGGTGTCTATCCCCTCATGCTCAGGTCCAGCCTCTCTCTCCTCTTCCTGCTGTGGCACATTAACATGTCAAACTCTATAAGTCTATGGTGCCTCAGTAACATGGCTATGTCTCAAGTCTCTCTTACAGTCTCTCGTACAGGGCACATACCCTATGGACTCTCCCTGTCCATTCCTATATGCACTCCACTAATTAGAATTGAGCATACCGTATAAGACATAACTGCCTATAGTAATCAAAGCCCAAGGGACAAAAACATTCTATATTCAGTGATCGTTAGAGAGAAACACAGACCAATCTATAATCAATAGCTATCACTTCGGCAACCAAAACAATGGTCCCCTGTGAGTATTTGAGGGTGGAGGAGATCAGAGCAGACCATCGATCCCCTTTAGCCAGGGATAGACTGCACTGCTAGACCTCCATCCTCTCTTAGACCTCTGTCTGTCTGTCAGTCTCCAAGACAGTCTGGTGACTTTGAAAAGGAGACTAAGGATTCTCAAGGAGACATTACACACAGAACCAAAATGGCTCCCATGATAATTGTGATTGGTACAGACTACAGAGACATCATTAATGTAATGTGTGTGTTTGCACATGGGGTGTGTGTGTGCTGTACTAACGTGTGTGTGTTGTTGTGTTGTTCCAGGTGTAGATGTGACGTCCATGCACACCATGCGTACCCAGAGGCCCAGCACCATGTTGTCTGATGTTCGACAGCTGGTCTCCAGCGGGGGCAGTCTCAACCAATGCAACAACGACGGGGTCACTCTGGTGAGTACCTACCAGTGGAGGCTGCTGAGTGGAGGACGGCTCATAATAATGGCTGGAATGGAACCAATGGAATGGCATCAAACCATGAGTTTGATGTATTTGATACCATTCCACTTATAACGCTCCAGCCATTACCACAAGCCTGTCCTCCCCAATTAAGGTGCCACCAACCTCCTGTGGTACCTACCTGTACTCCTCTATTATCTACCACTCTCTCTCTCTCTCTATCTTGCTCTCCCTCTCTTGCTCTCTCACTCTATACCAATCGCTGTATACAGTAGATGTGTCTGTGTAATGTGTTTCTTTAACCCTCTCTCCCTGTCTCTCTCTCCTTCTCTCTCTAGCTCCACATAGCGTGTGCTAGTGGCTACAGGGAGGTGGTGTCTGTGCTGCTGGAGAACGGGGCGGACCCTCAGCCCTCCGACAATGGCTATTGGACACCTCTCCACCTGGCTGCCAAATATGGACAGGTACTGTCATATCACTGTACATTCACCAATCCAGTCGTGTCAGATCCATGGAGTGAAAATGAACAAACGTTGTTTAGCGAAGGAAAAACGTTCTAAAGACCTATGGGAATGTAAAATGTTTACGAATTGGCTTGGCATCAATAATGGCTAGTTTATAGACCAGAATTGGCTGGCTAGTTTATAGACCAGAATTGGCTGGCTAGTTTATAGACCAGAATTGGCTGGCTAGTTTATAGACCAGTTTTGGCTGGCTAGTTTATAGACCAGTTTTGGCTGGCAAGTTTATAGACCAGAATTGGCTAGCTAGTTTATAGACCAGTTTTGGCTGGCTAGTTTATAGACCAGTATTGGCTACTGGCTTTTTTATTCCTTTACCTTGTCTAGTCTCATTATGAGACGTATAACAGAAATCTCCTCTGTCCTTATCTCTGCTGATAAACAGGTATTTTGGGGCCTATCGAGCAGACTAGCTCAAAGTGCTGGCACGGCACTGCATGTATTAATTAATGCCTTTTAGATTAGCGATTTCATGGTGTTTCTCACAGGGAAGGAGATTGATTTCAGGATATGGATGGGGGGCAGGTGGGGAAGAGGGAGATTTGGGTAGACGGATAGGGGGCTTTGAGAGAAAGGGAAGCGGTCGCGTTAAAATCTTGCTGACACGGTCCAACATTTAATTGCATTTCTGGGGCTGCATGGTTGGGGTGCTGACAAAGAGAATGTATTCATATTTAGAACAGCTATTTTACTTATTTGTTCCTCTACTACCCCCAGGCCAGGTTTCTTCTCTAATGTGTGTTTTACAGTAAAGTCTCTCTTCCTTTCAGTTACCTCTTAACCCTCACTATCTCAAATGAAATCAAATTGTATTTGTCACATGCTTCGTAAACAACAGGTGTAGACTAACAGTGAAATGCAGAAAGAAAAAAAAAGATGAATAGTAGACAGAATTGAAAAATATTAACACAAGGAATAAGTTGAAAAATAATAACACGAGGAATAAGTTGAAAAATAATAACACAAGGAATAAGTTGAAAAATAATAACACGAGGAATAAGTTGAAAAATAATAACACGAGGAATAAGTTGAAAAATAATAAAATAATAACACAAGGAATAGGCCCCGTGTAGCTCAGTTGGTAGAGCATGGTGTTTGCAACGCTAGGGTTGTGGGTTCGTTTCCCACGGGGTGCCAGTATGAAAAAAAAATAACACGAGGAATTAGTTGAAAAATAATAGCACAAGGAATACGTTGAAAAATAATAACACAAGGAATAAGTAGAAAAATAATAACACAAGGAATAAGTTGAAAAATAATACCGTGGCATAAATTGAAAAATAATATCACAAGGAATAAGTTGAAAAATAATAACGAGGTATAAGTAGAAAAATAATAACACGATGAATAAGTTGAAAAATAATAACACAAGGAATAAATTGAAAAATAATACAGTGGAATAAGTTGAAAAATAATAGCACAAGGAATAAGATGAAAAATAATAACGTGGACTAAGTTGAAAAATAATAACATGAGGAATAAGTTGAAAAATAATAACACAAGGAATAAGTTGAAAAATAATAACACAAGGAAAAAAGTTGAAAAATAATATCGAGGAATAAGTTGAAAAATAATAACACGATGAATAAGTTGAAAAATAATAACACAAGGATTTAGTTGAAAAATACAAGGTAATTACATTTGACATTTTAGCAGACGCTCTTATCCAGAGTGACTTACAGTTAGTGAGTGCATACATTTTCATACTGGCCACCCGTGGGAATCGAACCCACAACCTTGGCGTTGCAAGCGCCATGCTCTACCAGCTGAGCTACAAGGAGGCCTAATTGAGGTAGATATGTACATATAGGTAGGGATAACGTGACTAGGCAACGGGATAGATAATAAACAGTAACAGCAGCTTACGTGATGAGTCAAAAGAGATTAGTGCAAAAAGGGTCAATGCAGATATTCCGTGTAGCTATTGGTTAACTATTTAACAAACTATTTAGAAGTCTTAGAACTTGAGGGTAGAAGCTGCTCAGGGTCCTGTCGGTTCCAGACTTGGTGCATCGGTACCGCTTGCCGTGCGATACCTCATCCCTCTCTTTCTCAAACTCCACAGTGTATTTGAGTGCATACATAAGTGAATTTGAGTGCAGAGTGACAGGGGAGGGGAGAAGTAGAGAGTCGATTAGGCTTCCTCTGCAGTAATGAATCATGTCAAGACTCAACACTTGACTACCCACTGGAGCCCTACCCACTGGAGCCCTACCCACTGGAGCCTGGCTCTGGCACTCTGCATACCAACTACACACTGACACATACTGTATACCTGCAGCATTGTCACATACTTTAGCATCAACAGGCACATTCAGAGAGCAGGGGACAGCCTCATCTCCCCATCTCTGCAACACTTTATATTACAAGTATGTTTTTTAGTTGAAATAAAATGGTTATGTAATTAGACTAGGTAAACTAATTAAAAACAAAAAAGTACGTAAAACAGTACCCTATAAGTAGAGTTGTGTTTCATGCATTTCTTGATTCCACTTCTACTCCCCCATTAGTACTGTATGGAGGTCAGTAGTGTTCAGTTGTTTATGGGTCATACTGTTGCTAGGTGCTGTTTGCTTGAGTCACAGTAACATTAGCTCATACTGTCATACAATAAACTCAGTGAACCCTGTGTACCCATAGCTGGTATTTCACTGGCACACGTAATAGGCTAATATTTCACTATCCTGCGTAAATGACTCCCATGGACTGTAGCGTATTACTGTAGCTTATTAGGCTTCTGTTTCTCCTTCACTCGCTTTCATGTCTTCCTGACATTTTCCTGGTTCCCATCTGACATTTGACCCCAGCCAGGGGGTCATTACCGTGGCAATAGTGACGTGGTGGGGGTGTATTTATAAAGTGTTGAGTGGAGTATGTGAGGGTGTGCCTTGTGGACATGCTGTGGCCTGTAACAGTCATGGGTTAGGCTATGGTAGAATATGCTAAGTCACTCTCTATACTTTACTACACTGTCCCTTTAACTCTCCCTATCTCACTCTCTTTATCTCTCTGTCTTGCCTTCTCTCTCTCATTCTATCTATTTATTGCTATCATGCTATAAAATCAATTTTGGTATCTCCATATCCTCACTAGTGAGACCATAAGTAATATGTTTAATAAAAGAAACACTCTCATGTACCTTTGACCTCTAGTAGTGCAGAGAGGGAGTAGAGGAGGATGTACTGTAGCAAGTCAATACAGCACAGAGCTATGATGCATACTCTAACAGGGGTTCCCAAACTGTTTCTCTCGGGCCCCCCTTCCGGCATTGGGGAACAACCCCCCCCCCCCAGGCTGGAATGGGCTACAAGACCATCGCCAAGCAGCTTGGTGAGAAGATGACAACAGTTGGTGCGATTATTCGCAAATGGAAGAAACACAAAGAACTGTCAATCTCCCTCGGCCTGGGGCTCCATGCAAGATCTCACCTCGTGGAGTTGCAATGATCATGAGAACGGTGAGGAATCAGCCCAGAACTACATGGGAGGATCTTGTCAATGATCTCAAGGCAGCTGGGACCATACACCAAGAAAACAATTGGTAACACACAACGCCGTGAAGGACTGAAATCCTGCAGCACCCGCAAGGTCCCCCTGCTCAAGAAAGTGCATATACAGGCCCGTCTGAAGTTTGCCAATGAACATCAGAATGATTCAGAGGAGAACTGGGTGAAAATGTTGTGGTCAGATGAGACCAAAATTGAGCTCTTTGGCATCAACTCAACTCGCCGTGTTTGGAGGAGGAGGAATGCAGCCTATGACCCCAAGAACACCATCCCCACCGTCAAACATGGAGGTGGAAACATTATGCTTTGGGGGTGTTTTTCTGCTAAGGGGACAGGACAACTTCACCACATCAAAGGGACGATGGACGGCGCCATGTACCGTCAACTCTTGGGTGAGAAACTCCTTCCCTCAGCCAGGGCATTGAAAATGGGTTGTAGATATATATTCCAGCATGACAATGACCCAAAACACACGGCCAAGGCAACAAAGGAGTGGCTCAAGATGAAGCACATTAAATTCCTGGAGTGGACTAGCCAGTCTCCAGACCTTAATCCCATAGAACATCTGTGGAGGGAGCTGAAGGTTCGAGTTGCCAAACGTCATGCTCAAAACCTTAATGACTTGGAGAAGATCTGCAAAGAGCAGTGGGACAAAATCCCTCCTGAGATGTGTGCAAACCTGGTGGCCAACTACAAGAAACGTCTGACCTCTGTGATTGCCAACAAGGGTTTTGCCACCAAGTACTAAGTCATGTTTTGCAGAGGGGTCAAATACTTATTTTCCTCATTAAAATGCAAATCAATTAATAACATTTTTGACATGCGTCTTTCTGGATTTTTTTGTTGTTAGTCTGTCTCTCACTGTTCAAATAAACCTACCATTAAAATTATAGACTGATCATGTCTTTGTCAGTGGGCAAACATACAAAATCAGCAGGGGATCAAATACTTTTTTCACTCACTGTAGCTCTCTAAGGTATGCAATGACTAACATGACAAGAGGAACTGATGATGCACTACCCAATTTCGAAATTGCACCTTGTGCATTCTACCATTACAACATTCAAGAGCAAGTTTAAAGCCGGACTGAGTTCCTTAAAAAAATATGTATATACTGTCTATAAAAACAATTTCCCCCCCTGCCAACCCCTGCCAACCCCTCGTGACCCCCCTACAGTTTGGGAACCACTGCTCTAACAGATCAGTGTCATTCTGATGGATGGCCACATCTGAGTGGGTGTGTGCATAGATCTTAGTCATTTTCATCTCATTGTGATTTGTTTGTGTGGGTGTGTGTGCAAGTGTGTGTGTGTGGATCAGGCATTGAAAGACAATCTCTCACATGCTGCCTTGGCATGCCATCCATTGGCATGTCTCACCACAAATCAACAATCACACACATTACACACATCACGCCTACTTCATGTAACACACACATACACATCACAGATCACACATCTCCAACCTCACATATCACACAGGTGTCTCTAGTCACAACCCTTGGGGTAAGAAGAAGGAGAGGGGGGAGATTGAGGGGAGGAGGAAAAAAGAGAGGGGTGGAGATTAAAAGGCTTTGTGAGAGACAGAGAGAGAGACAGATAAACTCCCTTATCTACTGGGTGAAATACCACAGTGTTCCATCACAGCAGCAAGATTTATGACATGATGCCACAAGAAAAGGGCAACCAGTGAAGAACAAACACCATTGTAAATACAACCGATATTTATGTTTATGTATTTTCCCTTTTGTACTTTAACTATTTGAAATGTCTCTATTCCTTTGGAACTTTACTGTTCATTTTTTATTGTTTGTTTCACTTTTGTTTATTATCTATTTCACTTGCTTTGGCAATGTAAACATATGTTTCCCATGGCAATAAAGCCCTTTGAATTGAATGTTATTGATATTGACAGAGAGAGACAGAGAGAGAGAGAGACAGAGAGAGAGAAATAGGGGGAAAGAGGAAGAGGGCTATATATTGTAGTGACAGAAAGAAATATAGGGCAACAGAGGAAGATAAAGAGATCAAAGGCAGAAAGAAGGAAGGGTGAGGCTGGGGGCGAGAGGAGATGATGACAGCTACATATCAGACAATTGTTTTTGTAGATATGGGCCACGGCAAGGACATTTGGGGAGAAAGGCATGCAAAATGTGATCTAACGCAATCCCATGTCTTTTTTTATTTTCTCTAAAATAATGAAGGTGTGTGTCTCTGTCTGTCCATCTCTCCCTGCAGATAAGCATTGTTAGCCAGCTGCTGAAGCACAGAGCAGACCCAACTCTCCTGAACTGCAACCAAGACAAGCCCTCAGGTATAACACACTGACATACACACACACTCAATTTAAGCATGTGGTATTGGAACAAATAAATTACTTTTGATTGGTCCAGCTGAGCTGTGTCTGCCTAGCCTACTGTTCCAGTGATCACTCTGATAAAACAGATCCAACACACACAACCTAACCCATTCATTTCCACAAGCCTGTGTGTGTGTGTGTGTGTGTGTGTGTGTGTGTGTGTGTGTGTGTGTGTGTGTGTGTGTGTGTGTGTGTGTGTGTGTGTGTCTGTGTGTGTCTGTGTGTGTCTGTGTGTGTCTGAGTGTGTCTGTGTGTGTCTGTGTGTGAGTGAGAGCGTGCGGGTGGAGGTTATATGTCATTGCCCCATGAGGACAAGCTCATCCATTAACCAAACATAAAATTAACACTTCACACTCTGCCTGATTCTTTCTCTGGACACACACACACACACACACACACACACACACACACACATACACATACACACACACACACACACACACACTGAGAGAATAAAGGTGTTCAGAATTAATCATCAGAGCTGATTTGATTAATTCCATAATGGGTAGAATATCATTACTCAAGTGCATTATCTTTCATTTATGTATAGAATCAGAAGAGACTATCAGAGCATGTCCACACTAACATAATTCCTTCTCATTTAATCTAAGTGTGTGTGTATGCATGGGTGCCTATGTGCCGTGTGTGTGTATGTGTGAGGAGTTGAGAGACAGCTCCTTGTCGCTGTTTGAAATAACACACAGACACTAGAGCTCATTTGGGTTCTATTTCCTCTGTCTACAGAGATGCATCTATTAACAGACACTCTCCTGCTGATACTGATGTTTTCCTTACCTGTCTGTTCCCCTGGGCTCCCTAGCTGAACAACACTAGCATAAAACTCCACAGGGGAAAATATACTTTGTTCTTTGAGCTGCTGTGGACTAGGTCTGTGACGATACCATTATCAAATTATTTTTTATATGGCAAAAATGAAAACACATAGCAGACCAAACTCTTTGGTCCTTAAAAACCTGCTGTATGTAAGATATTGTGTGCTATAGCTTGGAAAATAAATAAATAAATGATGTTTGTTTCCAACATTAGGGCTGTTTTTCTAAAGAAGTAAAATCAGCTTTGTCTTTTGTTCCCTTGCCACGATACTAACTAGTATCGCAATACTGGTATCGTTCCTGCCCTACTACGGACAACATACTACAAGAGCTGCTTCTTAGCAACCAAATGGGTTAGCAGAAATGCCACAGCAATGTTGAAGTGTAATGCCTTTGAAACCCTCAGATAATGGAAAATGAAACTTTCTAATTGTAGTGTGTAATGTAAAGACTGTCCAAAGCGTTGAACGTCAGTGTACCTCACTTGTGGAAGCAGAGGAGGAGAGAGACTCATGTTCTCCATACCGACCTCCCAATCATAGTGTGAGATACTGTAGGCCTATTAGAGCCTCCTCCTTACTCCACCCATCCCCTAGCGTAATCACACCACACACTCCCTCTAGCAGTAATCAATAGTCCATTGTAACATGTAAGCTTAACTTAGGGATAGATGTGACACCCCAGGGAGACAGAGAGAAGAGAGAGAGGATGTGGGAGAGAGAGAGAGAGAAGGAGAGAGAGAGAGGAGAGAGAGAGGAGAGCTATGAATAGATAGAGATAGAGATAGAGAGAGAGAGAGCTATGAGCTCTCGAGATATCGAGCGCGATATAGCTAGTACTTAGATACTCGCTGCGAGCTAGACTCTCGCGCGCAGACCTGGAGCTATATAGAGATATAGAGAGTTGAGTCTAGGGGGTTGTCATTCTCTATGAAATAGTAGAGGGGATATAGCCGTACTCCTCCCCTGTGCCCTTTTAGACCTCATTAAAGACTGAGGGTATCTTAACTCCCCCTGTCTCTGAAGCTCAGATGGATCAGTCCTCCGTGGGGTTCGCACTCTGCACAGGCACATCCATATGGATGTGAGGGGGGTCAGTTTTTTAGGATGAAGCCCTTGGTGAATTAGCCTAGAATGATTCAGAGCTTTGGATGGTACGTCTATATTACTTGTCATTAATGTTCAACGTATTGATCTTGGAGGACATTTTATGTGTCTGGTTGATTGGCTGGTGTCCAAAGTCAATGTCTATGCAACATTCCACATCTTTGCTAGGTAGAGGCTAATTTAAAGCCCCCTTTTGTACTGAAAGTAACCATCAGTGACTTAAATGTCTTATGACCACTATAATTAAAGTGATGCTCCAGAGCTTTTGTATCATTTCAGCCAGTAATATTGAAAGTAGTGCTCACGAGCCAAAACGGGTCCCTGAAAATTGTGTATTATGTCATCCATTTCTTATGATATGTTACCTTTTCTTTTTTTGTTGCAATTCGTATGATATGTTACTAATTCAAATTCATACAATATGTTATGAATTTATAAGTTCTTAAGATCCCAGACTGCTTATTTAAGCAAGTTTATATACCACAAACCTCTGATGTGCCATTATGCTATTATAAACTGGTTACCAACATCAATAGAACAGTAAACAAGTCTTTTTGAGTCATAGCCGTGGTATATTATTGTCTGATATACACAGCTAAAATGCTGTTTCAGCCAATTAGCATATAGGACCCAAACTACCCAGTTTATAATGCTTACTAACTAATACATCTGTAACAGTCTGACAGAGAGGTGAAAACAGTCTTTCTCATTGTTAACTCTTAGTGGTTACCCTCTGAACCCCCTTTGCTCGCTGTCCTGGTTCCAGCCATAGCAGCATCCGACCCCATCATGGCTATGCTGCTGAGAGCAGAGGAATGCTGGGTAGAGAGACTGAAGGACCCCTCTGTCCCCCCGCCCCCTACAGACGAGCGCTACGATGGAGGCGCACACGACCACACCATCCCCGTCAAGAACCTGTGAGTTTTTGTTATCAATTCATTAAATGATCAAATGACCTCCCTTATCTATATTATGCATTAATTATAATTTAAGTGTGTTTCAATATCAGTATTCAAAGCAAATGATACCCTTAGTAATCCTGTAACCCCCGCCCCTACCCTGTAGCACCCCCCTATCCATGTCCCTCTCTAAGAGGGACAGTCTGTTGGAGAAGTGTGCCATGTTCAGGGAGGTGGGAGTGGGGCTGAGCAGACAACTCTCACTGGACAGCGGTCTGAACGGACCTACAGCACCCAGCAAACTGGAGCAGGCAAGTACACTCAACATCTGCACTACAACAAAGTGTACACTCAATATGTGCACTACTGCTATATACGTCACTCTACTACAGAACATTTTACACGTACAGTATGAGAAAGTGTGCACATGCACCAAATCCATGTGTGGTTGCTATGGTAACCTGTGTGGTGTGTTGTTGCAGGTGAAGCTGATGCCTCCGGCGCCTAATGATGACCTGGCGTCTCTCAGTGAACTCACAAACAGTAGCCTGCTCTACGAGATGCAGAAACGCTTTGGCAATGACCAGATTTATGTAGGTAGAACACACACACAAACATGCACACAAACATACACAAACACACACACACACACACACACACACTCACACATGGACACACTGACATACAATTGGAGTGATGTATTGATCCTGAGATGTCAGCTTGGACAATGGGCAGTCTTTCCCCTTGACTGTGCCCAGATTCAGAGCTGGGGAGGGAAACCAGCACCCTCCAGCCCAGCAGGCCAGTGACAGAGATGGGTGTTATTGCCAGTGGCTGGGACAGGGGTGGGAGTCCTGTTTTTTGGTTTCTCTGTTGCCAGGCCAGGCAATGGTAACTGTGCTAGTGCGAGTTGTAGGGGTGGTACGCTCTTTGAGTCAGTCTTCCAACCCCCTCTCAGCTCTCTGTTCTGGGACAGTGGCTGTTGTGTGAGGGGTTTGTGTGGGAGGTCTGGAAGGTGGCCCATGAGACTCACTGTCTGCTGGCCAGGGACTTTGAGCCATGGCTGGGGGATGAATATAACCACTAAGAACCACATGTACACGCACAGATACACAGACACCCACATTAATGCACAAATTCACACACACACACACACACACACACACACACACACACACACACACACACACACACACACACACACACACAAAATAGAAATGTCCTATGTTGGAGAATCAATGCTGGTTTGGTTCGATGGAAGAAATCCATGACTGCATTTATGAGAAATACTGTACATCCCTGTTCCTTTTGGTTTCAGGTCAATTTAACCACTTTCATTGTCCCCATCTCCCTGAGTCTATTGCCTGGTCTATAGCTTAGCATGAGGGACTGTGCTGTATAAAGACTGGAGCCAGATCAATGTGGAACAGCCTGGTTATTCTCATCACTATGTGTGAAGAGGCTTCAATAGCCTGTTGTTACTGAACTACAGATGGGGAAGAGACTGGCTGGTTGGATATGGAGGGGAGGGAAGAGGGAAGGAGGTAGATTGAGAGAGGACAGAGAAGAGGGGGAAAGAATGAGATGAGGAGAAGAAAAGAAAAAAAGAGATGATGGGTAAAGATAAGGCGATTGGGTGAGGAGAAGGTTGAGGATGAGGAGGAGGAGGAGGAAGAAGAGAGCATGGAGCGAGAAGGAGGAGGAGAAAACGAGAGAGGAGCATGAGGTGGAGGAGGGAGAGAGAGAGAGGAAACCAGGGAGAGAGGGAAGAGATGGAGGAGAGGGAGGACAAAGGCATTGTAATGGTCCATATGCTCCCCAGCAGGGTGGTCAGAGACTGGGACTTTGATGACGGCTCCAGCCTGCTGCTTTGTACTGGGATGGAGGGATGGTACACAGCCAAGCCCAGAGACTGGAGGAGAGGACAGAGGGTTGTGGGAGGGATGCATGACAGTTGGGAGGATCTGATGGTGGTTGTGGGGGAGTGTAATTTGAGTTTTGGTCTTGATCCTACTATACGAGATTGAGAGCATTAAAGTTACCCTCTGGCACAGATCTAGAATCATCTAACCCTGCCATTAGGGGTTAAAATGCAAAACTGACCTTAGAACAGTTTCTGGGGGTAACAATGAAGCTCATTAACCTTCAGCCCAGGCCTGAGGACAGGCAGAGCAGCATGTTAGCGTTTTAGTGATAACACATCCTATTCAGCCCCAGCAGGGCACTCCTAGGGGACAGAGCGTTTAGCAATTAGCCAACCTCAGGGTATGTGTGTGGGAAGGAGGGCTAGCAACTAGTAACTGTACAGTAGTAGGGGTTAGGGTTTACTGTATGTCTCAGTCAGAGGAAGGGATTTTGGCTGTTAGTAGCCTATCTAAACAGCCTCAGGGTCTGTGCGTGGGAAGAAGGAATATCTATTGAAATAGAATAAGAATACCTGTCTATCTCCATGCAGTTTTTGCTATTTCTGTTTATAAAAGGGGTTTTGGTGGTAATGTTGTTTAAGTGATTTGCAGCGTTAATTGCCGTTAAATGTCAAGTTGATTACATGTCGCATTGATTTTGCAAACGCTGACAAGGACTGATGTCCGAGCAGACCACTATTTGGCAACATATTCTATTCATATGTCTCAGCCATATCCCCTGAAGCTCATTACATTAACGTTGTTGACTATGTTTTCCCTGCCTTTGAGTAATTTGAGTTATCATTAGAAAAGCATTTCTTACCTCTATTACACTTCCTTGTTCTCCAGGGGTTGCACAGGGCTTGCCAAGGCGCATGCATGCACCAGGAGCGTGTATTTGGGAATGAGCATATCCATCTGCCGCGGCAGTGGGGGAGAATGCTTTTGAGAAGAGTTTTTAATTCTCATAATAGTGTTTGTTGTCATGTTTGCCATAGCACTAGTGCTGACACAGGCCTCTCCCATCCCTCGGTGTGTTTGGGGAAGGGATTTAGTTAGTGCTAAGGTGACCTTCAGCCTCTGTGAAAGGGATGGGGCTTTGTGCTTCAACATTAAAGACGGTATGGGTCTATATGGACTTCTGTGTTTACCCCAGGAGTTTAGTGGCTGGTAGTTTGACCGTGCTTCAGGTCAAGACAAGATGCCTCAACGCCAATATATCAGGATGAGATGTATACCCCTGATGTTACAATATTTCAACTGTAATAATCCATTATTTTATGGACGAGATGCACTTCACTCACTGTATGTCTCTATGGTTAAAGAAGTAATGCAAATCCTTTTTTTTTCAGACCTACATCGGGCACATTCTCCTCCTGGTCAATCCTAACAAAGAGCTCCCCATCTACTCTACACTGGTGAGCACACATTATACAGTAACCAACAAGATCTCATAGTTTCCTTTCGAAATTCGACGTATTATGGATGAACGTCTATTTTTGACACATTAATTCTGGGTGGTTACAGGGTTAATTCCATGTGGTTACAGGGTTAAAACAGAAACAACTCAAAGGTTAACAGTTTAGGCATTAATTCCTAGTGGTTAAGGTTAGGCCGATGGTTTGGGGAAGGCTCTGCAAACCAACTGACTTCATACGATCAAGTGTCATCAAGTATTCTCACGACTTGCTAGAGCATTGTAAAATGCCATAGCGCAGTGGTCTGAGCAGCGTGCTTCAGATCCGAGCATCATGAGTTTGTGCCCAGTGCTGGGATTTTTTATAAAAATAAAAAAGATTGCACCAAGGAAGGCATACTGTATATCGACGTTGGTCTATTTCTAGTGGTTAGGCTGACAGTAACACATACAGTACATTTTCTCTTTATTTTCCTCTAGCTAGGGTGTAGCTTTATGTTTTTTATTTGTATATCCTCTATAATGTATCTTGTCAAAATAACACAGAGAATATGTTAACAGTATGTGGTGTGTGTGTGTGTATTGAGTTTCCTGTTGTGTGTATAATTAGTGTATTATGAATGGATGAAATGGGGCTTGATGTGGTCCATTAATAATGCAGTCTTCCTGTCAGTGATACACAGTGGAGGGCTGACTCTGCACTATACACTAGCCAGGCCAGGGAGAGATCCTGTTCAGAAACACACACACACACACACACTGTATATCTGCTGGGCCGTAGCCTAGACAGGCATTTATGTAATGCATACACATATCTTACTCTATCAGACATGCATTTACATAACGCTGACAGAAACATGTCTCTTTCAGTCAAGTACACATCTAATCCCTCTTAGCTATGTCTGACACAGGTTTAATCTATATTAGGCTATGTTTGCCGTACCTCACATGTGGTGTATTTGCCATACCATGCCTTGTGTGTCTACAATAGCAATGACAGCTGAACAGTCACATTAGTGGGACAAGCTGTGCTCACTGGCTGAAGAAATACAATATGACAAGATGACCATCATCACTCAGCCCACTGCCCTAATGGCAACTGAGAGATTGCCCATGAAACGGGGGTTTAGGAGGTGTGTGTGTGTGTGTGTGTGTGGAGGGGGTGGGGTACCTCTAGCTTGGTTCGGACAGATGCCAGTTCCATCGCCCCCCATATCTGTACCTAAAATCTGGCAGAATTGAACACACACCCAGGTCTTGCACACACACTCCACCTGAGAGAGTGAAAGAGACATATGTCACAACATGTGTGATCTGCTGCTAACAGGCTGTCACCCTCTGATGTCTGTCTCTCTACCCCCTCCACCAAAAACACCCCCCTTCCTCTCCTCTCCTCCCCTCCAACACCACACATCTGCTGGGTGATGGGGCAGACATTTGGGGTTGGGGACTGCCTGGGGCTTGATTGAGTCTGACTTGAGAAAGGGATCAGAGGCTGGGTTTGGTACTGTGGCAATGGCTGGGAAGGGTAGTGTGTTATTTGAAGCTGGGTTTTGGGGGGGTTGCTGGACTGGGGAACGGGTTTTTAGGGGTAGGGTTTTTGGGGCTGGGATGGTATACGGAGCTTATGGGCATTGGATATAGTGTTTGATGTGTCTCAGGCTTGTACAGGAGTGGAGAGAAGCCACGCTGTAACGGTACATGATTAGTGCCACAGAGACCCTTGAAACATACTACACCAGGTGTGGGGGAGGATTTAATCGCTGTTATGTAAGGCTTCAGGGCAATATGTAGGTGTGTGTGTTCTCTGTATGGCAATCAAGTGGCAGGGTGGCAGATGTGTATATTTTCTGTGTGTATTTTCTATTTTTGAATCTCAGTGAAAGTCAGTCAGTCAGACACAGCCAAGCCCAGTGTCAGCATTCAGCTATTAGTCTATTGGATGTTCTGCTAAATCAATGTGTTCAGTCAGTGGTACAGGCCGAGGCATGGCACACAATGTGTACTACTGTTTATATCTGTACAGTGCAGCCTATGAGAATAGATTAGTTTAACACTAGTAGACTAGCAGCATGAAACAGTCTTTGAAACACTGCCTTTTAAAACTCCACCTCAACACACTGAGTCAGACAGTTTCCACTAACCACTAATTGCTCTGTGTGTTTCTGACTGTCTTGGTTTTTACGTGGCCATAGTACAGGACTGGTGAGTGGTAAGCCACACTTTGTCAGAGTGCTGTGTTACACGCACACACCAGAGGAGGCTGGTTGGAGGTGCTATAGGAGGACGGGCTCATTGTAATGGCTGAAATGGAATAAATGGAACGTTATCAAACACATCAACTTATGGAAACCACAAACTTGACCAATAATTCAATTCCAGCCATTTCAATGAGCCCGTCCTCCTATAGCTCCCCTCACCAGCCTCCTCTGACACACACACTTGTAAACGTATACCCAAGTTAGATCTGTGTAAGGATGAACCCAAGTGGTGTGCGTGTGGACATGTGTGTCAGTGTGTTATGTAACAATGGGCTTTAATTATTCTCTCTAAGTAACTGTTAAGGAGTATAACACTCATATTCTCTCTCTATCCCTCTTTCTCTGTCTCTCACGCTCTCTCGCTCTGTCAGGTGAGTCAGTTGTATCTGAGTTCTTCTGGGCGTCTGTGCTCCTCTCTGCCTCCTCACATCTTCTCCTCAGCAGAGCGGGCTTACCACATGATGCTGCAGGAGCGACGCCCGCAATTCTTCATCCTCAGGTACACACAGAAAGAGAAAAAACACACACATTCAAATGCATGCACAGATGCGCACACACACACACACACACACACACTCACTAAATACATGCCAATATCGCCTCTGTGAGAAAGCATTAGTATTTAATTCAGTTCTGAAACCCTACCTCTTTGAAGAGTATCTTAAATAACTCTCATGCCCCCCCCCACCCCTTTTCCTACTAGCACTGACTTTGCTGATAAATACTTTGTTGAGGGAAAATGTACTTGACATGATTGCAATATGTTTTTGTCTCACCTAGATGAATGCACTAATTGTAAGTCGCTCTGGATAAGAGCATCTGCTAAATGACTCAAATGTAAATGTAGATCATTAACTCAGCATCAGTAAATTATTTAGAGTAGGTGAATGTTGAGGTGAGGACCACTGCCCAGTTTGTCCAAACCCACCCCTGCAGGTCAGTTAAATGCTCCCAGAGAGATTAATGAGCCTTAGTCTCAGCCCAGACCTGTTAAATGATCGCAGAGAGATGAATGGCTCTGGGGGCCTGGCTGGATGGAGGCAGCTTCCTGATTGCAATTAAACCCGTTATGGCTCTCCACCGACGTTCACGCTGAGTCGTAGCAGATCTGGCAGCGAGTTAATGCACTTTGGCCGCTGGCTATTCATCACACACATGCACACGCACACACACACACACACACACACCTCATATGCAGTCTTCCATGCTCCACTGGGCTGGAGGCAGTCAAAATGTTAGGTGCCTCAGGGGCAGGGTACCTACACAATCATATACATTCAGTACACATGATCCCTGGAGGCCAGGGTATAGACACATACCCAGAAGCACAAAACGCCCTTCAATTCTAATAAAGCCCTGTAAATGAAAAGAGAGGTAACCTGCTGTGTTCACACTCTTAGCAGGGTCATTAATAGGAGGACAAAATCACATACACACACACACACATACACACAGCGCTGTCATTAGTTGGGGCTTAAATTACCTTCTAAAGCCATCTGCTAAGTGTAACGTAGCTGGTCTCTGCTCTGTGTGTGTGTGTGTGTGTGTGTGTGTGTGTGTGTGTGTGTGTGTGTGTGTGTGTGTGTGTGTGTGTGTGTGTGTGTGTGTGTGTGTGTGTGTGTCTGTGTCTGTGTCTGTGTCTGTGTGTGTGTGTGTGTGTGTGTGTGTGTGTGTGTCCAAGTTGTGCAGTTAGACAGATCTTACAGTATGTCCAACTGTTAGTTTAAGTCCCCCATGGAGCAGAGTAATGTAGTTCGCCACAGTCAACCTTACCGGATTGACGTCAGTGAGATGCCAGTGGGTGGATCTACCTAACCTGAATGACTTCAGTGAGATGCCAGGTGGATGGATCAACCTAACCTGAAAAATCTCAGTGTTCTGCCAGGTGAATGGATCAACCTAACCTGAATGACCTCAGTCAGATGCCAGGTGGATGGATCAACCTAACCTGCATAACCTCAGTGAGATGCCAGGCGAATGGATCAACCTAACCTGAATAATCTCAGTGAGATGCCCAGTGGGTGGATGCTAGATGAGCACCTAGATGAAGAGTACACATGACCATGAGCTCCACTTGCCATCTCCACTAACCCAAAGAAACTTCCACAGGTCTTCACTTTCAGTGTCCTTCACTAGAATAAAGAAAGAAATGGAATAACAAAATGTTTCTAAAAAGTCACAGAGCATTATAGCCATAGGCTAGGTTGATATGATAGTGTCCACTCGATAAACAATACCATTGTAATGGCTAGCTGCAGGATTGTAAACAGAGGAGTGAATGGGATGGGGGGATGTCAGGCGGGTGGGGGAGTGTGACGGAGGTGACAGATAGTATTCTAGGCTACACCCTGATTACTCACGCCACTCGACACACCCATTCATCTGAGACCAGGAACAATATGGACACTCATGGACATACTCAAAGACACATATATTCACACCCTTGCATGAACACACACAGACACAAACAACTGTCATTTGTATTGCTACTTATGTCTAATCACCCTTACTACCTTAACAAGCCTATATCTCTTTCTCTCTCTCTCTCTCTCTCTCTCTCTCTCTCTCTCTCTCTCTCTCTCTCTCTCTCTCTCTCTCTCTCTCTCTCTCTCTCTCTCTGTGTTTCTCTCTCTCTGTGCAGTGGGGAGAGTGGTTCTGGGAAGACAGAGGCTTGTAAACACATAGTGAGACACCTGGCAGTGAGGTCCAGCCCCAAAGGCTTCTCTCTTGAGCCCAGGATGAAGCATGTGAGTCTGGGTTACCATTTACATACAGAGCCCCTGACCCTGATTGTCCTAAAAAGATGAATCCACTCTTGGAGGACAATGTAAGTTGAATAGAAAATGACAGACAGACTAGCTCAGTGGGTGTTCAGTCCAGTGTTACAGAGTCCCTGTTGTGTAGTGGTTTGAGATATGGATTCATGGACCAAATGATCTGTGTTAGCGCACTGGTCTTTACATCAAACCCCTAGGTTTTTACAGGTTCCTTTATTTCCTTGATAGCCATCGCTAGGTTCTGTATGATGACTCAGGCCCATTGTGTTTGTGATTGGCCCATTTGTCCCTGAGAGAAAGCCATAGCATCTAAATGCTGTCGGTTCTCTTATGACTCCTCTCACCTCGGACGGTGAGATTTCTGGCAGTGGACTCAAAGCATACTGGTGAGACCCATTGAAGGAGAACATAGAGGAGTACAATGGGACACAAAATTACCATAGCAACCATTATATGAAAAGCCGTTATGATTAGGACATTGTGTGAGAATGTTTTATATGCAGTGATCAATTGCAATAATATGGTATTAAACCAGTCTTGTCTGGAAGCAGCGGATTAAAAGAGCCCTTTAGTATGAGCATGGACTACTGCATTCAACCTTACATAGACATTTTTTCAGAAATCTAATGGTTTTCTTGTTGTCTAGCATGCTAGGGAAGTATTATTACACTGAATGACTGAAGATGAACACTTTCTTGCTATTTTATAGTCCTAGCAGTGCTCCTTATTATAAACCAAACACCTTTTCATTAGACTTACTGTTATGACCTTAACATACATAGCACCATTGTTGAACAGGGAGGAGAGAAAAGCTCTTGCTTGGCTATAGTGGAGCTGTATCTACATAGATGAAGTCATGGGTTGGTGCTAGATAACATATCTGGGTCAACACTTAGAGAGCACAGAGCGACAGATGAGTGTGACAATCAGTCAGTGGGGCTATATTGTCCCATGGTGAAGAGATGTCGAATTGCGACAGTCAGTAATTCACACTCATGCACCTGCTTCAGTAAACTTCAGTGAATCAAATTACCTAGGTATATTAGTTCACATTAACAAATTGTGCATCTATGAACATGCCATCACCAATGCATGTCTTAGCTGTATAAAAATGTATTCTCTAAAAACATAATGAATATGTCCAGCCCAGAAAGTGTCACTTTCTGGGCTGGACATATTCATAATGTTTTTAGAGAATACATTTTTATACAGCTAAGACATGCATGGATGGTTGTATTGTACAGTATATTACACTGTCTCTCTCTATATTATGTGGTGGCTTATAGGTGAACTGTATCCTGGAGGCATTTGGTCATGCCAAGACTCCCATGAATGACAACTCCAGTCGCTTCATCAAACTCCTCAGCCTGCAGTACTGTGACAAGAGAAAGACACTACTCAGAGGTACACACTACTACACCTTTACTCAGGGGGTTGTTCTATAACTAACAAAGGGACTTACTAACTACACCACTCAATGTCTACTCAGATGAATACACCACTACACCCTCATAGCAAAGATTTGTATAACTAAACCAAGATAGACCACAGCCTGTCATTTCCAATGGAAACAAATGAGTCATAGTGGGCAGAACAAGCTAGGAGGCGGGCAGAGCCAAGCACGAGCTTGCGAGATCCTATTGGCCCGTTCTAGCATGTATCTGTATATTTCTGTTAGGGAACGCCTACTCTGTGAAGTGCGCGTGTGCAATAACTCAATTCGCCTTTGCACTCCTTCAAAATAATGTGATTTTTTAAAACTTTGGCAAAGGGTAAAGTCTACAAACCTTAGTTCAATCATAACAGATTCTAGTTTTGGGAACAGAAAACTGTATTGAGATAAAATGTTTCATCGATGAGAAAATGTGCAGAATGTTGGACAAAATACATCTCCTTCCATCTTCTCCCACTGCCGGCCACTGGGCTTCCTCTCACCTACCATTTTTGATAGTGAGTGGAAACGCCAAGCGGATGCTTCACATTTATACATCCAGTGAAATATCTGTCTCATTGTTCTATCTGTGCTCATAGGGTCCATGTACTTGTAGTAATTAAAAGGCATTTTGATGTATGGCCAGCAGGGGGGAGTATAACTCTATGAGTAAACCTGTCAGGCTTCAATGTCTGTCATTCCTACTGAACCACATTGAGACAGATACATTGATTTACTCATACGTAATGGCAGTGTATGAAATATGAATTTGACTTAAGGACACTCAGGTTTTTTGTTTGATAATTTGGTCTGTGTCCTGTTTTTAAGAATCTTGAGAGTACACATTGGTATCTTAATGGATAATTATGTTAAGATTATCATGTGTGCGTGTAGGTTTATAGGTGTTTTTACAGTAGGTGTGTTCCTGTACTACTGGTTACATATGGTTTAAAGTTTATTGACAGAGCATGTGTTATTATGTGGATTACATTTGTGTGTGTGTGTGTGTGTGTGTGTGTGTGTGTGTGTGTGTGTGTGTGTGTGTGTTTAGCACGGATATACACATACATGTTGGAGAAGTCCCGTGTGGCCTACCTGCCTCGTCAGCAACACAACTTCAACATATTTTACCTGATGGCTGAGGGCCTGTCGCCTGAAGAGAAGAGTGCCCTGTACCTCAACAACGTCCTGTCTCACAGGTCTGTACCTCAACAACGTCCTATCTCACAGGTCTGTGCCTCAACAACGTCCTGTCTCACAGATCTGTACCTCAACAAAGTCCTGTCTCACAGGCCTGTACCTCAACAACGTCCTGTCTCACAGGTCTGTGCCTAAAAAATGTCCTATCTCACAGGTCTGTACCTCAACAACGTCCTATCTCACAGGTCTGTACCTCAACAACGTCCTGTCTCACAGGTCTGTGCCTCAAAAACGTCCTACCTCTGTGGTCCTCAGCTGGTAGAGCACATTTACATTTACATTTTAGTCATTTAGCAGACGCTCTTATCCAGAGCGACTTACAGTTAGTGAATACATATTTTTTTTATACTGGCCCCCCGTGGGAATCGAACCCACAACCCTCGCATTGCAAACACCATGCTCTATCAACTGAGCTACATCCATGCCGGCCATTCCCTCCCCTACCCTGGACGACGCTGGGCCAATTGTGCGCCGCCCATGAGTCTCCCGGTCGCGGCCGGCTGCTCGAACCAGGATCTCTAGTGGCACAGTTAGCACTGCGATAAAGTGTCTTAGACCACTGCACCACTCAGGAGTACGGCGCTTGTAACGCTAAGGTAGTGGGTTCGATCCCCGGGACCACCCATACACAAAAAAAATATGTATGCACGCATGACTGTAAGTCGCTTTGGATAAAAGCGTCTGCTAAATGGCATATTATTATTATATTATATTATTATATTATAGGTCTGTACCTCAACAACGTCCTATCTCACAGGTCTGTACCTCAACAACATCCTGTCTCACAGGTAATAAGGCCATGCAGATTACAGTAATATAGGAAGATATACACATACACGCCATCCCTTCCTCTTGCTAGCAGGTGACTGAGGGGGGGAAATTCACATATTTCTGCCTCTCACCCAGATTGACCCCATTTCCTTCCCAAAATGTTAAAACATTTTACAAACTCAGCATGAGAGTGAGTGAAAGAGTTACCAAACATGAGTTACCAAACATGTTTGGTAACTCTTTCACTCTCATGCTGAGTTTGTAAAATGTGTGTGTGTGTGCGTGTGTGTGTGTGCGCGTGTAATGCGTGACAGTATTCCATGAACCCCCCCTGGAAAGTCTGTCTGATATCCAGTGACCTGGATGGGGGTTTTGGAGCCTGGTAAACACGCTATAGCCTCTGATTCAATGCTGCGAGTGCGTGATCAAAAGCCCTCCGATACTAGCCCATTTGGGGACCCCTTCTCTCTCCCCCCTCCCCACCCTCGCTTTCTCAGCAGGAGATTGCTCTGACTGGTTAAAAACTACTCAGCTTGAGAATACCTGCTCAACCACCATGCTTTAAATGACTTTTTGACATGCTCTAAAAATATGCTTTTTTGTTTCAGGGTACCATATTATGTCTGTAGTCCCTCAGTGATATCTAGTCAGTGCGGTCTGTAGTGTGAACTCTCTCCCTGGTTTCTGTCTGTCTGAGTGTTGTTCCCTGCTGCTCTTCTCTGTAGTGTAGTTGATCATGTCTGTGGTGTATAGTATGATAGCTGTCTCTCACTGGTCTCTGTCTGTGTCTATCTAGGTACCTGAGTGCAGGTGTTCCAGCAGGAGACTCCCCTCCTGTGGCCTCAGCCTCAACTCAGAGTAGAAACTGTCTCATTGCAATCAAACAGGCCCTCAGAGCACTGGGCTTCAACAAGCTGGTACGATAACACACTGTGTGTGTGCGTGCGTGAGTCTGCATGTGTTATTTGCCACACATATGGCTGTGTGTATGTCTATGAGTCTATAGGGTCAGTTGGTACCAGAGGTGGTTGGTGGGAGGAGCTACAGGAGGACAAGCTCATTGTAATGGCTGGGATGGAATTAATGGAATGGAGTCAAACATGTAGTTTCTCTATGTTTGATGTGCTTAATACCGTTCCATTTATTCAATTCTAGCCAATAAAATGAGCCAGTCCTCCTATAGCTCCTCCCACCAGCCTCCACTGGTGGGTACACATACTGTAGCTTGTGAGCAGGGTTGGACATTAAGAATGTCTATTTCTCCAGCCATGTTGGCTGGTGGTCACACAGTGCATTTGGGAACAGTAAAAAAAAAAAATCAAAAGCCCACATGTTTAAATTGGTCGAATTGACAAGAAAGGCTACTAAAGTGTGACGTTGTCCTAGATTTTATTTGCCAGTTACATCAGTTTGTTCACACGCTAGGTTGTTTTTCAATGTTAGTTTGAGTTTTTCACACACTAGGTTGTTTTTCAATGTTAGTTTGAGTTTGCTGCAACTGTCTGCTGCTAGGAAGACATAGCAAAGCAAGTGCCCAAGTTACCACGGTAACGGCCCGTCCCTTAAAAGGGCAGCTGAAAATGTTTCTCACACCTAATGATTGTGCTTGATTGAGCATGGATCACTCCCAAAAACTTTTATTCATGAACATTGTTTTCCTAGATTTATCTGTGTGCTTCTACAGTACCTTTCTACTTAGGAGCACATCATGAACTCCTTGTAAAAAATGTCAGCATAGGGCCCTGAACTCTAATAATAAATAAGCCGTATCACTCATCATTTTGTGGCAGGGCAGGCACTTTGTTGATTCTTGATGTTCAGTTGTAGAACAGTTTATATGTTTGTAACATAAATTGGTTAAAATATGCAGATCATAAATATGAAATGAAATGAAGCAATATACCACATTACTTCTTAATAGTAATACTTTTCTTGTTTTTGAAACATTACAAAGCATGCTCATCTGTTTTTTTGTTGTTGTAATTTTGATGTAATTACGGTGAAAACAATATTTTGATGGGTAAAAAATGTAATCTACCTGCCAAGGTGGCTGGTTGACCAAAAAGTTAATTTCCCACCCTGCTTGTGAGCATGCTTGCATGTGATGGTCATGTGGGGTTCTGCATGTTAGTATACTAGCTATACGTACAGACTGTACTGTACTGTACCTTGTCTGGTGTGTGTGTACAGAATGAGTGTTCTCAGCACATTATCACAGTCTATGTATAGGCTGCAGTCAGCATCTGTCAGCACTGAGTGACCACCAAGTCAGCTTTTAATCCCTCCCACAGCCAGCAGCCGATACTGTAGGAGGGAGGAGGGGAGGGGGTGATGGGGGAAAGAGTACTTCCTGAGAGAGAGACTACCCATCGGTGCCTCCCTAAGCTCTCATTGGGGATGACTCATGAAGAACCTCAATCGCTCCTTTCTCTCCCACTCTCTTTCTTCTCCTCTGCTACTGCAGTGTCAGACAGAGACTAATAACACTGTTTATCTCACTGAAACAGCTCCTATAACACACACACACACACACACTGTCCAGTAGGGTTGAAGGGTCTGGGTTGGGTAATGGGGGATACCATTAATCGTCCTCTACTCAAGGACAGAGACAGAGAGAGAGAGCGAGAGAGAGAGAAAGAGAGAGAGAGAGAGAGAGAGAGAGAGAGAGTGAGAGAGAGAGACAGAGAGAGAGAGAGAGAGAGAGGTGGGGGGGGGAAGGGTATAGAGGGATCAGAGGGAGGAGGGATAAAGAGGGGAAAGGAGAGGTTAGATAAGGAGATCGGAGAGAGAGGAGAGGTTTAGGGATAAGGGGGAGAGGGATTCAGGGGTTTGGAGAATATATGTTCGCTCAAAAGATGGGAGTTGACTCTTTGGGAGGAGACTAGGGGGTGGGGGTTTACAGTATATGTATGATTTCACAACTTCATGAATAAAAACAATAACACCTCTCTCTCTCTCCTTCTCTCTTCCCCTCCTCCCTCCACACCGCCGCATCTCTCTCTCTCTCTCTCTCTCTCTCTCTCTCTCTCTCTCTCTCTCTCTCTCTCTCTCTCTCTCTCTCTCTCTCTCTCTCTCTCTCCATCAGGAGGTGGACAGTGTGTTTATGCTGCTGTCAGTGGTGCTGCAAGTTGGGGACCTGAGCTTCATATCACTGACAGATGCTGAGACCGCCTACCCCTCCAATCTGCAGCTGCTGGAGCGAGGTCAGCATCACCCCCGTCACGTGACCTGGGCCAACACTATGCACTGACACCAGGCTGACAGCAGAGGGAGAGGGGAGGGGAGGGGAGGGGAGGGGAGGGGAGGGGAGGGGGGGGGTGGGTGGGGGGGGGGGGTGGAGCGCTACGCAGTAGTAATTGTGTCACTATCCATCTTCTTGTTTACATCAGCTTTGCTGCAGTCTCCTCCTTGCACTCTCCTCCCCTCCCTGTTCTCTCGCTCTCCTCCCACTCTCTCTCTCTTTCTCTCTCTCTCACACACATACACACACAGACTCTCTCCCATTCTGTTATATATTTGCTGTTGGTGTTTCAGCCAGTCTGCTATAGTCACCTGTTTGGTGAGCGAGTCCTGTTCCCTCTCATGCTGTTACCATTGTGAGAAGAGGACCCATTACCCATTTACATCACATTTACATTTACGTCATTACATTACACAACACAACTACACACATGTGTTACCCTGACCTCACAGAGAGGGTAGACAAATGATGTCATCCCCCACACCAAAACAGGGCCCTCTCAAGGAGACGTGAGGTCATTGGGATTCTGAGTTCCTGTCACCCTGTTTTTGTGCTCGTTCATATGCCCTGAGTCCAGGGATGACTAAGCGCTGCCAGCATATAAGTGGTGATGAGTTTTAGCGGAGATCGACTCGTCATGTCAGCTCAGTGATATCAGAATTAATCATGTAGGCTGGATCGAGAAGTGTTGCTTTGTTCAAAACAACTGGGAACTGGGAACTCTGAAATCTCCGACTTCCGACTTCAGTGTGTTCGAGTTGTCTGGGAACTCAGAAAAAAATGAGCTCCGACTGGGAAAAATAGTTTTGAACGGTCATTGAACTTGGAATTCCAAGTCGGAAACTCGGGCATCACGCTAGAGCTCCGACTTCCCGACCTGAAATCACTGACGTCATGATTTGACCTAGTTTTTTTTCAGAGTTCTCAGTTGTCTTGAAAGCACCATCAGAACTAGTCAGAGTGTGACACGTCATATTTTAAACTGTTTTTGTCTCTCTGTGAGTGACTGAAGGTTAGGCTTGAACTGAGTATGACCTTTTCACCCCCTCCCTATCTCTGTTTTCTGTTCTTTTATCACTTTACTTATTCACGTTCTCTTTTCTCTCTCTCTCTCTTACTATTTTTTCTATTTTTCCCCCTTTCTGTCTCTCCAGTGTCTGGAATGCTACAGGTGTGTTCTGATGACCTGAGTTCTGCCCTCACCTCTGATGTGCAGTACTTCAAAGGTAATCACTCACCCTCTGTCCTCATCATTTCCCCAAACATTGACTTACTTCACAATACCCCAAACATACCTCCCATCTGTAGGATTTCTATGGTAACAGTTTGGATGTCAGGCCCAGGTCACCATGGTGTCTACCCTCTTGTTTCCTTCAGGTGATGTCATCACACGGCGCCACACGGTGGAGATGTCACAGCACTTCAGAGACCAGCTGGCTAAGGCCCTGTACGGACGCCTCTTCAGCTACCTGGTCAACAACAGCAACTACTACCTACAGGGACAGGACGACAGCACGGGGTAGGGCTACGTGTGTGTGTGTGCGTGTGTGCGTGCGTCTGTCTGCATGTGTATCACAGATATGTACATTTTTCATTGTAAACACTACAAGGAATTTATTGACAGCCAGCACAGATACCCATTAAAACCCCTCTGTCATATGTCCATCATCACAGACTCAACAACAGCACATACAAGCCCGTCAGAAAGACAACACTGATACTATCACTCATAACATATTGTTTACACTGGAGAGTTGGAATAGTTTACATTTTATGTACTAAAACACGCAGAGTTGACTTGGAGGCCACACACACGCACGTACACACAGACACACACACACACACACATACACACAGCATTGAGGTGGAGGCCAGTGGATCCTTGGTCTTGGTGTGTTGATGTTTTTCAGCCTCATCGTCATGTCAGATAAGCACTATTATCTTCTGGAATGTGTTATTGCATTGACAATCTCTTTCTCTCTCGCTCACTCACTCACTCACTCTCTCACTCACTCACTCACTCACTCACTCACTCACTCACTCACTCACTCACTCACTCACTCACTCACTCACTCACTCACTCACTCACTCACTCACTCACTCACTCATTCACTCACTCACTCACTCACTCACTCACTCACACACACAAACACATCAACCAAAATATGAAATAATTAAAATATATACAGTGCATTTGGAAAGTATTCAGACCCCTTGAGTTTTTCCACATTTTGTTATGTTACAGCCTTATTCTAAAATGAATCAATAAAAAAAAATATCCTCCTCAATCTACACACAATACACCATAATGACAAAGAGAAAACGTTTTCTTTAAATATATATTAGCTCCGAGACAGGATTGTGTCGAGGCACAGATCTGGAGAACGGTACCAAAACATTTCTGCAGCATTGAAGGTCCCCAAGAACACAGTGGCCTCCATCATTCTTAAATGGAAGAAATTTGGAACCACCAAGACTCTTTCTAGAGCTGGGAGCCTGCCCAAACTGAGCAATCGGGGGTAGAAGGGCCTTGGCCAGGGAGGTGACCAAGAACCCGATGACAGAACTCCAGAGTTCCTCTGTGGAGATGGGAGAACCTTCCAGAAGGACAACCATCTCTGCAGCACTCCACCAATCAGGCCTTTATGGTAGAGTGGCCAGACGGAAACCACTCCTCAGTAAAAGGCACATGACAGCCCACTTGGAGTTTGCTAAAAGACACCTAAAGGACTCTCATCTGGTCTGATGAAACCAAGATTGAACTCTTTGGCCTGAATGCCAAGCGTCACGTCTGGAGGAAACCTGGCACCATCCCTATGGTGAAGCATGGTGGTGGCATCATCATTCTGTGGGGATGTTTTTTAGCGGCAGGGACTGGGAGACTAGTCAGGATCGAGGGAAAAATGAACGGCGCAAAGTACAGAGAGATCCTTGATGAAAACCTGCTCCAGAGCGCTCAGGACCTCAGACTGGGGTGAAGGTTCACCTTCCAACAGGACAATGACCCTAAGCACACAGCCAAGACAACGCAGGAGTGGCTTCGGGACAAGTCTCTGAATGTCCTTGAGTGGCCCAGCCAGAGCCCGGACTTGAACCCGATCGAACATCTCTGGAGTGACCTGAAAATAGCTGTGCAGCGACGCTCCCCATCCAACCTGACAGAGCTTGAGCGGATCTGCAGAGAAGAATGAACGAAAATCCCCATATACAGGTGTGCCAAGCTTGTAGCGTCATACCCAAGAAGATTCAGGCTGTAATCGCTGCCAAAGGTCCTTCAACAAAGTACTGAGTAAAGGGTCTGAATACTTATGTAAATTTGATATTTCCGGTTTTTATGTTGAATACATTTACAAAAAAATCTAAAAACCTGTTTTTGCTTTGTCATTATGGGATATTGTGTGTAGATTGATGAGGGGGGAAAAAAAGCAATTTAATCAATTTTAGAATAAGGCTGTAATGTATCAAAATGTGGAAAAAGTCACGGGGTCTGAATACTTTCCAAATGCACTGTATATACTTGAGCGAACACACACCCTTTTCCATTCATACTAGCCACACCACTCCAAATCAAACATTCATACAAACAGAGACATACACCAACCTGGCCTCTGAGGATGTGTCACACTGTGTATGAATTCCTTCTCTGATCTTTCCCCTCCTCCATACCTCTCCCACAGAGATCCTGCCCTTGAGATTGGAATCCTGGACATCTTTGGATTTGAGGAATTCCAGAGGAATGGATTTGAGCAGGTACTTTAATTTCACAACACACACATTATTTCACAACACACACATCCCCCCACACCTCCTATTATATGTGTGTTTCCACTCCTTCCAATCTTGTTGAGTCTTATTCTATGGCTCTAGTATGCCTGATGTATTCTCAAGTCAAAGACATAGAGCGAACGTCAAGGCCAGACTGAGCTACTGTCATCTTTTCTTGCTGTGGAGAAGGTTTTAGAGGTATCAACCAGCTAACTGTATACCAGGTCTAGGTTAACCCTTTCAGACCAGAACAACAGGGCAGTGTTTATTTTATGGTCCTCTGTAGCTCAGTTAGTAGAGCATGGTGCTTGCAAAAGCCAGAATAGTGGGTTTGATTCCCAGGAACACCTGTATGCATGACTAAAAGTTGCTTTGGATAAAAAATAGTCTGCAAAATGTAATATATATTAACATATAATATGATTGCATTGCTGATTCAGTTGTATAGTGATTATGTGTGAGCTGTAGTGTTTCTTACAGTAAATTAATGAGATGAGGTATGTTATTATTCAGTGCTCTGATGTCGTCCTGTCCTCAGCTGAACTGTGGGCCTAATCCCCTGGATTACGGCCACAACAAATAGCCTGTGTGTGTTAATGATTCACAACAGCATTTTATTGTCACTGCCCATGTCTTTCTTTCAGCCATCTCTCGCTCCCTCTGTTCTCTCGTTCATAAATCTTGTGTGTAAAGCCTTGGTCTCTAGGTCTTATGGACTTCTCCTCTGTATGAACAAGGATCAGAGAGTTTAGCTGGCAGTCTCAATATCACTGTGTGTGTGTGTTGGAAGTGGTAAGATGTCAATTGCTTTTCTCTCAGAATGTTCTTTAATCCGAGCGGAACATTGGAGGTGTTCAAGCAAATAAGTGATTACCCATGCTGCCCTGGGCCACACTCCCCTTGGGACCACCCCTGATCAAACCGTGTGTTTGTGTGTGTTTGTGTTGGAAGTGGTAAGGTGTCAATTGCTTTCCTCTCAGGATGTTCTTTAATCCGAGCAGAAGAGGGGGATTCACTGATCTAACCAGAGCGAGAGAGCGAGAGAGCGAGAGAGCGAGAGAAAGAGAGAGAGAGAATGAAAAGATAGAGACGGGTAGACATTTATTGGGGATTAAACATCCCTCTTCCCCCATTCGGCCACTTCACCCCCATTCCTCCCTCATCCCTCCTTCCCCCAGTGTGTTCCAGTGTTCAGGTCCATGTTTGAGGAGACCCTGTCTGTTATTGAAGACAGCTAATCACTAGATTACACATTACACTCTGGAGAGATAGGGGAGGGGCAGGTGCCAACTAAACAAGCAGGATAATTTACAGTGTGCATGGCACACACACATACGCGATGCACACACACACCGATCAGGGTCATTAATGTGGCCTGGGCTTGTTAATTAGAGTTTGTTCATCAGAGCTGTATTGTACCTGCTAAGCATTTCCTTAATGAGCTCATGCTTTACAGACATCAACATCTGCTGGGACTGACTGACTGACTGACGCTGTCATATACGGCACTTAAGGACAAGAGAGTAGAATTTGTCTAAAATGCAATTAAAGTACAAAGACTAAATCAAATGTAAATTGTAAATTAAATATCCCACAATTGAATTATTTCTGTTGATTCTCACATATCATTGTGATATCCAATACATCTTAAACGGGAATGAAACCATTTTACAAGCTAGGTCTTATAAAACAATCTAAACAAACCCTAAATACATGTTTTGGGTGTTTGTCATACAGAAATTGCTACTTTGCATAACTTTGAATATTTTGATTTCAGAGCCAATGCTTATTTGGGACTGGGCGCCACCATTAAAATTGGCATGGTAACGACACGAGCTGCAACGTCATTGACTGGACAGAAATATTTGGCAGGTTGATTTATGATTGCGTACAGTAACGGGAGTGACAGCTCTCCTGTCCCAGTATTAAGCAAATTAATAATATATAATATAATATGCCATTTAGCAGACGCTTTTATCCAAAGCGACTTACAGTCATGCGTGCATACATTTTTGTGTGTGGGTGGTCCCGGGGATCGAACCCACTACCTTGGCGTTACAAGCGCCGTGCTCTACCAGTTGAGCTACAGAGGACCACTATTTGCATTGAATGCTTAATGCCCATTGTGCAATATACAAGTAACTGCCAAAATAATGGAAACACTTGAGTAAATGAGGGATACAAAGTATATTGAAAGCAGGTGCTTCCACACAGGTGTTGAGATAGGCATGTGAGCAGCACGGGAAGTGCTCGTCAGCCATTTGCGGTGATTGCATAGGCCTATACATCTATGGGTAGTAGCCTAGGCCTATGCTGAAACCCTTTTTTAGGATATTATGCCTACATGTTACTGTAGCCCTTTTCAGACGGCATTGGTTTTACTGGGGGTCGGGTAATGTAATTACGTGCACAAGCACAAAACACCACATCCGTAATGTTAATGTGAATCTGCCACACACCATTTACTTGCATGTTAACTTGTGTGTGTCTTCCCAGCTGTGTGTGAACATGACCAACGAGCGTGTGAGGCAGTATGTCTCCGAGGTTCTGTTCCAGCAGGAGCAGGCCGAGTGTCTACAGGAGGCCGTCGCCATGGAGACACTCCGGTCGCCTGGCAACCAGCCCGCCATTATAGACTTCTTCTTCCAGGTAATGTTTTGGTGTCTGTGGTCCCCACCGCACCACTGCCCCTTTAAGAACTGTGATAACCACTTGAAAAACAACACATATCTCATTCTAAAAAAGGCTTTGGTTTTGGGTGTGGTTAAATAGATTTTGAGGTACAAAGGTGCCCTCAATCACACATCTAGGATCAGATTACACTACCTCCGATCTTAACCTGAAACATTAGGGAGCAGAAAAATATCTGACCCTGCATCATTGCACTCCATGAAATATAGAGGTTCATGTGTACCGTGGTTCTATGCATTCTATATCTATGTCTGTGACCCCTGTCCTCCATCTTCCCTAGAAGCCTCAAGGTCTGCTGTCTGTGATGGATGAGGAGAGTCAGTCGCTGAGGCCTACAGAACAGACCCTCTATAAGAGACTACAGACACACCTCGACAACTCACCCACTCACGGCATCTCCCTGACAACCAAGGACGGCAATGGAAACCCCCCACCCATAGACCAGGGTCCTGCCTTCACTGTGAAACACTACACAGGCCAAGTGAGTATGTGTTCACTCACTCACACACACACACAAAGACACACACAGCAACACACTCACACACAACGTAGACCAGGTGAGTGTATCTGGCATTTTAAAGGTGGACCTTTAACATGTTGTCGTATATCTGTTTTCTGATTGGTAGATGGCCTATGACCTCACAGGATCCCTGGTGAAAAACAAGGACTCCCTCCCCCAAAACCTGCTAATGGTTCTGAAGTGTGAGTATCACTCAATACACACACACAAGGGTCGTTCCATTTAATTTCAATCAATTTCTGACTGTACCCCTTTTGATTTGAATGAAACCTTGACCATTTTGCATACCCCACCCTACCATGAGACATTCATGTCTTCATCTCTGAAAAAGATAAATAGTTGAGTTTGATATCATTTGCAAGCTTACAAACAGGGTTGTCAAACTATTTGGTTATTTCTTGAAAAAAAAAACATTTTAAATAAAATTGTATTTTTTTTACCTTTAACATATATGATCTAAACACGCATAAACTCCAGTTTTGTTCATGTTCATATACACTACCGGTCAAAAGTTTTAGAACACCAACTCATTCAAGGTTTTTTCTTTATTTTTACTATTTTCTATATTGTAGAATAATAGTGAAGACATCAAAACATATGGAATCATGTAGTAAACAAAAAAGTGTTAAAGAAATCAAAATATATTTTATATTTGAGATTCTTCAAATAGCCACCCTTTGCCTTGATGATTCTCTCAACCTGCTTCATGAGGTAGTCACCTGGAATGCATTTCAATTAACAGGTGTGCCTTCTTAAAAGTTTATTTGTGTAATTTCTTTCCTTCTTAATGCGTTTAAGCCTATCAGTTGTGTTGTGACAAGGTAGGGGGTATACAGAAGATAGCCCTATTGTGTAAAAGACCAAGTCCATATTATGGCAAGAACAGCTCAAATAAGAAAAGAGAAAGGACAGTCTATCATTACTTTAAGACATGAAGGTCAGTCAATACGGAACATTTCAAGAACTTTGAAAGTTTCTTCAAGTGCAGTTGCAAAAACCATCATGCGCTATGATGAAACTTGCTCTCATGAGGACCGCCACAGGAATGGAAGACCCAGAGTTACCTCTGCTGCAGAGGATAAGTTCATTAGAGTTACCAGCCTCAGATATTGCAGCTCAAATAAATACTTCACAAAGTTCAAGTAACAGAAACATCTCTACATCAACTGTTCAGAGGAGACAATGTGATTCAGGCCTTCATGGTCGAAGTGCTGCAAAGAAACCACTACTAAAAGACACCAATAAGAAGAAGAGACTTGCTTGGGCCAAGAAACACGAGCAATGGACATTAGACCAGTGGAAATGTTTGGTTCCAACCGCCGTGTCTTTGTGAGGGTGAACGGATGATCTCTGCATGTGTATTTCCCACCGTAAAGCATGGAGGAGGAGGTGTGATGGTGTGGGGGTGCTTTGCTGGTGACACTGTCTGTGATTTATTTAGAATTCAAGGCACACTTAACCAGCATTGCTACCACAGCATTCTGCAGCTATACACCATCCCATCTGGTTTGGGCTTAGTGGGACTATCATTTGTTTTTCAACATTACAATGACATTACAATGACCCAACACATCTACTGGCTCTGTAAGGGCTATTTTACCAAGAAGGAGAGTGATGGAGTGCTGCATCAGATGACCTGGCCTCCACAATCCCCCGACCTCAACCAAATTGAGATGGTTTGGGATGAGTCGGACCGCAGAGTGAAGGAAAAGCAGCCAACAAGTGCTCAGCATATGTGGGAACTCCTTCAAGACTGTTGGAAAAGCATTACAGGTGAAGCTGGTTGAGAGAATCCCAAGAGTGTGCAAAGCTGTCATCAAGGCGAAGGGTGGCTATTTGAACTATCTGAAATATAAAACATATTTTGATTTGTTTTAAAAAATGTTGGTTACTACATGACTCCATGTGTGTTATTTCATAGTTTTGATGTCTTCACTATTATTCTACAAATAGTAAAAAATTAAGAAAAACACTTGAATGAGTAGGTGTTCTAAAACTTTTGACCGGTAGTGTATGTTTTAGCTTACACCCTATTTCAAATCATCTGAGGTGTTTGTGTTGTGACGGCCATCGGTTGAGACACAGCATGCTCTTGAATACAGGGTGGGTGTCATGTTTTGGCTGATAAATTAAATCAAATTTTCTAATTTCAAATGGTCCACAAGATGGTTGGAGGTCCACACTTCAAAGAATGTTGGCTTGAGTGGAAATATCCATTGTTTTATATTAAACTGTCAATCTTCCATAGGAAACCTATTGAAATCATCTAAATATAAATACGAAAATAGACATTCCAATTCAAGTTGTCATTCGATGGTGGGTGGACTGGTGGCCATCTTCCTGATAGTAATTAAAACGTAAAAATTCAATTAAATGTCAATGGTGTACCAGTTAAATTGTAGTGGTTTGAAGGGATAGGTCTGTTCCAAAATTATGTTTCTATGATTGAAATGACACCCACCCAGTATTCAAGAGAATGATGTATCTCAACCGATGACAGGCAAAACACAAACACCTCAGACAATGGAAAATAGGGTCTAAGCTACAACATATGTGAAAATGAGAAAACACTGAGTATACACGTTTTTAGATAATTGACGTTAAAAGTAAAACGTTTAATCATTTTTATTAAAAAACTTTTTTTTCAATAAATGATCAAATAGTTTGACAATCCTGTTGGTAATCTTTCAAATGATATCAAACTCAACCGTTTATCTTTTAAAGTGATGAAGACATTGATGTCTCACGGTAGGATGGGGTATGCAAAATGGGTCAACTTTGAGCACCTCTACCTTCTGAATGTTTTGGCATTCAGGTCCAAAAAGTCACTTTCTGACCACTTCTACCATGGGCAAACATGTCTGGAAGGGGTGCTGTCAGAAAGTGATTGAATTAATATGGAATGACCCACACACAACCCGTCCAGAGCACACATCCAAACTCATACACACAGCAAGAGGTCTCTTAATGATGGGTGTGTTGTTAGCAGCAGTAGTGGGTATATAGTCTATTGAGCATGGCCAGAAGTGTGCTGGTGTAGTTGTGAGCCAAGCATAGCAGGACACAGGCAGACCTTGTGTAAGAGCCAGGAGCAGCTAGCTTAGCGTCTATAGGGCTAATTACTGTGGTTTGCTGTAATTTACATGATGCGCCTAATCAAGGCTACCCCTTTAGAGTTGGCTTTTGTACCTCTCTCTGTCCCGCTCTCTTGTTTTTGTTCCTTTGTGCACATACGCACAATGTACACACATAAAGACACACATGCACACACATTATGACACACACATACATTCCTGTTTCTCTCCCTTTGGACAGAAACATACATACCCACAAATACTTCCAGCTCAGATAATATGATACAGCCACAGGCGGCCGGTTGCAACTTAATTGGGGAGGACGGGCTCATAGTAATGGCTGGAACGGACTTATGGAATGGTATCGAACACATCAAACACATGGTTTCCATGTGTTTGATACCATTCCATTCACTCCATTATTATTAGTTGTCCTCCCCTCAGCAGCCTCCTGTGGATACATCTCAGCCCATCCTTCCCATCCATTTCCTATATACCAAAGGGTAAAGGTGAGTTCAGACTGAAGGGTGTGTGAGGGCGGGGGCTGAGGATGGGCTGAGCGGTATGTATGGAGATTTCTTTGTGGGCCTCAGTCGTCAGGTGGTGGTGGTGGGGGTTTGGGGGATTGTGATTACATCATTGGAGAGACAATTACCTCTGGAGCCCACAGTCATTACTCCCTACAACCAGTCTAGGACTCTTGTTTAGTTTTCCTTTCAAGAGCTCTCTCTTTCTCTCTCTCTTTCTCTCTGCCTTCTAGCTCTCTCTCTCTCTCTCTCTCTCTCTCTCTCTCTCTCTCTCTCTCTCTCTCACCACCACACCACACACTCCCCTCCCACACACACATGCCTCTCTCAAAGATCTCATTGTTTTCGAGGGCTGCTTCATGTGTTCTGTGGCAGCATGCTCAGCCTACTCTCTTATGGAGCTGATTGTTTACATGGCTATTATTGCTCCATTGCCTCCCCCTCACTTCTCCTCTCTTTCCTTCCTTCCCTCCTTCCATCCATCCTTCTCCTCTTAATCCCCTCATGTCCCCTGTTGCCCCTGCTCCTCTCCGTCCTCTCTCACTTCTCCTCTCTCCTCTCTCTCCTCTCTCTCTCTCTCTCTCTCTCTCTCTCTCTCTCTCTCTCTCTCTCTCTCTCTCTCTCTCTCTCCTTCCTTCCTCCTCTCCTGCTCCCACTGATCCTCTCCTCCAATCCACTCTCTCCAATTGTCTTCCTCCCTCTTCCCTCTCCACTCCCTTCCCTCCCTCTCTCTCTCTGTGTGTGATTCCCCTGTACAGCCAGTGAGAGTGTGTTGGTGCAGCAGTTGTTCCAATCCAAGCTGACCCAGACTGGGTCTCTGGTACCGAGCCAGGCCAGGATGGCTCTGAGAGGGCCCAAAGCAGCCCTGCTCCTAAACAGGATGTCATCCCCCACCACCCTGACCCCTGCAGGCTGCGAGCCTCGGAGGTACCTGGACCTCACCAAGGTACTGGACAATGGCTGGTAAACCATATACTGTGTAGCATACCATAGCACATACACTCACCAAGGTACGGCGGACTAAGTGACATAACCATCACCATAGCGAGTCACTCAGAGTGTATGCTATACAGTACATGTCATATGGTACGTTAGCCTCTTCGCTCCGGGAGACCTGAACACAGAACCCAAAAACATTTTCACCAGCCCTCCGATATATCTATTTCCAATAAACATTTCCCATCACCGAAGGTAAATCTATCATCTGGAATGCCTTACCAGTTGGTATGGGTTATTAAATGTGTGAAAATAAACGTTTTCCTGAGTTTACCAAATTCATTCTGTATCTCCCTAAAGGTGCTCTTGCATCTGAGATCACACGGTAATCTCGCATGGCAACTACTACGGAGTATGCGGACTAGGGAGTGCGCTTCAGAAAAGTTTGATATAAAGGTTTATTTTACCGTAGTGCACACATTAAATAACCCCTATCGACTGGTAAGGCATTCCAGATTATAGATTCTCATTCAGCAACAGAAAGGCTGGTAAATATGTTTTTTGGGATACGGGATGTAGCCTTCAGCGACGGGAGCCCAATGTGTACAGGTCTCCGGGAGCAAAGAGGCTAATGTACCATATGACATGTACTGTATAGCATACCATATACAGACATACACTCTGAGTGACTCACTAAGGTACATTAAACAAGAGGGTGATACCCCTAACTCATGAGTCATACCTAAACCACAACCTATCCAAACAGTCAGTATGGTATTTATTTAGTACTTATCATTGTAACTTTTCCAGGTAAAATCAATAAGACCTCAATAAAGTACCACAATCAGTGTGGTAATACATAAAAATGAATAAATATAAATGAATTAATACAATTATGTGTTCACCGTCATGATCAATAGAAATGACAAACAGCTCAAAGCATCCCTCATCAGAACGTTCTAAATATTGGCACCCCCCTTATGTTGATTGGTGGTTAAGGGAGGTGAGAATCACCAATGGTGAAAGCAGGCTGTGTCCATATCTGTGACACACTTAGTCGGAAGCTGGGTGTGCTGATTGGAAAAGCAAGGAGTGTGTGTTTGGAAAGAACGTTTCCCAAATTAGGCCACTTCCCACCAGACTGTTAAATATAGACCTCTGGGAATAGCTTTGTTTGTCCTGTACTGCCAGATGATAGAGTACTTCACACACACACACACAGATACACACATATACACTCAAATATGTGGTAAGAGAGTGTCAACATGAATGTTTCTCATGACATTTTAAGGGTTCACAAACCATACACCCCTCTGCTATAAACATTGTGTTCTCACAATTATGCTAGATTTCATAACTTAAGCTAGAACATGGTTTCCCAAACTTGGTCCTGCCTCCCTAGCACAAGACAGATGATTCAAATAACCAACTCATCATCAAGCTTTGATTATTTGAATCAGCTGTGTAGTGCTAGGGCAAAAAAACTAAACGTGGGGGGGCCCAGGGCTAAGTTTGTGAAACCCTGAGCTAGAGGATTTCATAACTTCTGCTAGAGGATTTCACAACTTCTGCTAGAGGATTTCACAACTTCTGCTAGAGAATTTCATAACTTCAACTAGATAATTTCATAACTTCAGCTAGAGGATGGCATAACTTCAGCTATCTCTCTCTCTCTATCTATCTCTCTCTCTCTCTCTCTCTCTCTCTCTCTCTCTCTCTCTCTCTCTCTCTCAATTCAAAGGGCTTTATTGGCATGGGTGTCACAAACAGGCCGTTGCCTGAACCGTATTGAATGAAACTCAGGACCACGTTGTATCATAGGAAAAGTAAAGGGACACTTAATAAAGCTTCTTACATGGCCCTCAGGCTGGAAATAACAAACAAACAAATCATGGTACGGATGGCAATATATCACGGACACACCCTCTCACATGTTCTCCCAGCCCCAGAACCCACGAGACATTAAGCCCCACCCCATAGCACCCAAATAAATACACCTCCCCTCTGTCACAGGTGCAGCTCATCACCTGTGATCAGAGATAAAAGGAGGAGAGGAGAGAGAGGGAGCAAAAATAACAAAATGATAGTGCAACAAAATGACATCACCTACTCTCATTCACACAACTACTTAAGAAAAATGGATCAGGGTGTAATGATGAAAGTATGCATATAACTAAGTTGATGAAATATGGACAACGACACTGGACAGTATATCAAAGGACAAACACATCCATATTTCCACTCTCTCATACTTATCCCTCCCATCTAGACAGAGATGGCAGGCATCCCGTGAAGACCTCCCTTCATAATGGGAAACATATGTTTACATTACAAAGCAAGTCACAGACTACAAAAGGAAAACCAGCCACGTCGCCGACACTGACGTCTCGCTTCCAGACAAGCTAAACACCTTCTTCGCCCGCTTTGAGGATAACACAATGCCACTGTCGAGGCCCACTACCAAGGACTGTGGCCTCTCCTTCTCCGTGGCCGACGTGATTAAGACATTTAAGCATGTTAACCCCCGCAAGGCTGCCGGCCCAGACGGCATCCCTAGCCGCGTCCTCAGAGCATGCGCAGACCAGCTGGCTGGTGTGTTTATGGACATATTCAATCTCTCCCTTTCCCAGTCTGCTGTTCCCACATGCTTCAAGATGGCCACCATTGTTCCTGTACCCAAGAAAGTAAAGGTAACTGAACATCATGAAGTGCTTTGAGAGACTAGTCAAGGATAATATGACCTCTACCTTACCTGTCACCCTAGACCAAGCTCATCATCAAGCTCGAGGCCCTGGGTCTGAACCCCGCCCTGTGCAACTGGGTCCTGGACTTCCTGATGGGCCGCCCCCAGGTGGTGAAGGTAGGAAACAACATCTCCACTTCGCTGATTCTCAACACTGGGGCCCCACAAGGATGCGTGCTCAGCCCCCTCCTATACTCCCTGTTCACCCATGACTGTGTGGCAAAGCACGCCTCCAACTCAATCATCAGTTTGCAGACGACACAACAGTAATAGGCTTGATTACCAACAATGACGAGACCGCCTACAGGGAGGAGGTGAGGGCTCTGGCAGTGTGGTGCCAGGAAAATAACCTCTCACTCAACATCAACAAAACAAAGGAGATGATCGTGGACTTCAGGAAACAGCAGAGGGTGCACCCCCCTATCCACAGACAGGACCACAGTGGAGAAGGTTGAAAGCTTCAAGTTCCTTGGCGTACACATCACCGACAAACTGAAATGGTCCACCCACGCAGACAGTGTGGTGAAGTCGGGGCGGCAGGTAGCTTAGTGGTTAAGAGCGTTGTGCCAGTAACCGAAAGGTCGCTGGTTCTAATCCCCGAGCCGACTAGGTGAAAAATCTGTCGATGTGCCCTTGAGCAAGGCACTTAACCCTAATTGCTCCTGTAAGTCGCTCTGGATAAGAGCGTCTGCTAAATGACAAAATATATATATATATATATATAAAAATATATATATATATATATAAAAAAATATATAAAAAATAAAAGAAAAAAGAAGGTGCAACAGAGCCTCTTCAACCTCAGGAGGCTGAAGAAATTTGGTTTGGCACCTAAAACCCTCACAAACTTTTACAGATGCACAATTGAGAGCATCCTGTCGGTCTGTATCACCACCTGGTATGGCAACTGCACCGCCCGCAACCGCAGGGCTCTCCAGAGGGTAGTGCAGTCTGCCGAACACATTATCGGGGGTAAACTACCCGCCCTCCAAGACACATACAGCAGCCGATGTCACAGGAAGGCCAAAAAGATAATCAAGGACATCAGCCACCCGAGCCACTGCTTGTTCACCCCGCTATCATCCAGAAGGTGAGGTCAGTACAGGTGCATCAAAGCTGGGACCGAGAGAATGAAAAACAGCTTCTATCTCAATGCCATCAGACTGTTAAATAGCCATCACTAGCACATTAGAGGCTGCTGCTGCCTATTGAAATCACTGGCCACTTTAAGAAATGGAACACTAGTCACTTTAATAATGTTTACAGTCACTTTAATAATGTTTACATATCTTGCACTACTCATCTCATATGTACATACTGCATTCTATTCTATGATATTCTACTGTATCTTGTCCATGCCGCTCTGTCATTGCTTGTCCATATATATATATTTTCTTTAAATTCCAATCCTTACTAATTTTGTGTGTATTAGGTATATGTTGTGAAATTGTTAGATATTACTTGTTAGATATTACTGCACTGTCGGAGCTAGAAGCACAAGCATTTCGCTACACCCGCTATAACATCTGCTAAACACGTGTATGTGACAAATAACATTGGATTTGATTTTATTTGAAGTGAAATAGACAATATACAAAAGGGAAATAAACAAGTGAAATAAACAATCAGAAGATAAAAGTAAACATTACAGTCACAGAAGTTTTATAAGAATATATACATTTCAAATGTTATATTATTGGCTATGTAAAGTATTGTAACAATGTGCAAATAGTTGAAGTATGAAAGGGAAAATAAATAAACAGATAAATGTAGGTTTTATTTACAATGGGGTTTGTTTCCACTGGTTACCCTTTTCTTGTGGCAACAGGTAACATATCTTGCTGCTGTGGTGGTACATTGTGGTATTTCACCAAATAGATAGGGGAGTTTATCAAGATTGGATTTGTTTCAAATTCTTTGTGGGTCTGTGTAATCTCAGGAAAATACAGTACCTTCAGGAAGTATTCACACACCTTTACTTTTTCCACATTTTGTTGTGTTACGGCCTGAATTTAAAATGGAATACATTGAGATTTTTTTGTCACTGGCCTACACACAATAACACATAATGTCAAAGCGGAATTATGTTTTTCAATTTTTTTAACAAATTAATTACAAATGAAAAGCAGTATTCAGTGAATAAGTATCCAACCCCTTTTTTATGGCAAACCTAAATAAGTTCAGGAGTAAAAATGTGCTTAACAATTCACATAATAAGTTGCATGGACTCACTCTGTGTGCAATAATAGTGTTCAACATGATTTTTGAATGACTACCTCATCTCTGTACCCAATACATACAATTATCTGTAAGGTCCCTCAGTTGAGCAGTGAATTTCAAAAAACAGATTAAACCACAAAGACCAGGGAGGTTTTCCAATGCCTCGCAAAGAAGGGCACCTATCGCTAGATGGGTAAAATAAAAAAAGCAGACATTGAATATCCCTTTGAGCATGGTGAAGTTATTAATTACACTTTGGATGGTATATCAATACACCCAGTCACTACAAAGACACAGGTGTCCATCCTAACTCAGTTGCCTGAGAGGAAGGAAAAAGCTTAGGGATTTCACCATGAGGCCAATGGTGACTTTAAAACCGTTAGAGAGTTTAATGGCTGTGATAGGAGAAAACTGAGGATGAATCAACAACCTTGTAGTTACAGTGGGGGAAAAAAGTATTTAGTCAGCCACCAATTGTGCTAGTTCTCCCACTTAAAAAGATGAGAGAGGCCTGTAATTTTCATCATAGGTACACGTCAACTATGACAGACAAAATGAGATTTTTTTTTTCCCAGAAAATCACATTGTAGGATTTTTAATGAATTTATTTGCAAATTATGGTGGAAAATAAGTATTTGGTCAATAACAAAAGTTTCTCAATACTTTGTTATATACCCTTTGTTGGCAATGACACAGGTCAAACGTTTTCTGTAAGTCTTCACAAGGTTTTCACACACTGTTGCTGGTATTTTGGCCCATTCCTCCATGCAGATCTCCTCTAGAGCAGTGATGTTTTGGGGCTGTCGCTGGGCAACACAGACTTTCAACTCCCTCCAAAGATTTTCTATGGTGTTGAGATCTGGAGACTGGCTAGGCCACTCCAGGACCTTGAAATGCTTCTTACGAAGCCACTCCTTCGTTGCCCGGGCGGTGTGTTTGGGATCATTGTCATGCTGAAAGACCCAGCCACGTTTCATCTTCAATGCCCTTGCTGATGGAAGGAGGTTTTCACTCAAAATCTCACGATACATGGCCCCATTCATTCTTTCCTTTACACGGATCAGTCGTCCTGGTCCCTTTGCAGAAAAACAGCCCCAAAGCATGATGTTTCCACCCCCATGCTTCACAGTAGGTATGGTGTTCTTTGGATGCAACTCAGCATTCATTGTCCTCCAAACACGACGAGTTGAGTTTTTACCAAAAAGTTCTATTTTGGTTTCATCTGACCATATGACATTCTCCCAATCCTCTTCTGGATCATCCAAATGCACTCTAGCAAACTTCAGACGGGCCTGGACATGTACTGGCTTAAGCAGGGGGACACATCTGGCACTGCAGGATTTGAGTCCCTGGCGGCGTAGTGTGTTACTGATGGTAGGCTTTGTTACTTTGGTCCCAGCTCTCTGCAGGTCATTCACTAGGTCCCCCTGTGTGGTTCTGGGATTTTTGCTCACCGTTCTTGTGATAATTTTGACCCCACGGGGTGAGATCTTGCGTGGAGCCCGAGATCGAGGGAGATTATCAGTGGTTTTGTATGTCTTCCATTTCCTAATAATTGCTCCCACAGTTTATTTCTTCAAACCAAGCTGCTTACCTATTGCAGATGCAGTCTTCCCAGCCTGGTGCAGGTCTACAATTTTGTTTCTGGTGTCCTTTGACAGCTCTTTGGTCTTGGCCATAGTGGAGTTTGGAGTGTGACTGTTTGAGGTTGTGGACAGGTGTCTTTTATACTGATAACAAGTTCAAACAGGTGCCATTAATACAGGTAACGAGTGGAGGACAGAGGAGCCTCTTAAAGAAGAAGTTACAGGTCTGTGAGAGCCAGAAATCTTGCTTGTTTGTAGGTGACCAAATACTTATTTTCCAATATAATTTGCAAATAAATTCATTAAAAATCCTACAATGTGATTTTCTGGAGAAAAAAAATCTAATTTTGTCTCTCTCATATTTTTAAGTGGGAGAACATGCACAATTGGTGGCTGACTAAATACTTTTTTTTCCCCCACTGTATATCAGAACACTAACCGAATTGACAGAGTGAAAAGAAGGAAGCCTGTACAGAATAAAACATATTCCAAAACATGCGTCCTGTTTGCAACAAGGCACTAAAGTAATACTGCAAAAAATGTGGCAAAGCAATTAACTTTTTGTCCTGAAAACAAAGTGTTATGTTTGGGGAAAATCCAATACAACAC